CCACAAACGGCGGCAGCGACGACAGCGGCGGCGGCGGCTGCAGCGACGGCTGCGACGGCGGCGGCGGCGGAGACGACGGCTGCAACGGCGGCGGCGGTGGAGACGACGGCTGCAGCAGCTGCGGCGACGGCGGCTGCGGAGGCGGTGGAGGAGGAGACACCGGGGGAGGGACAGACGGCGAGGACTGCGCCGGAGGACTACCAGAGTCAGAAGACTCGTCGACCGGGACGACCGACGGGAGGGGGGTGACGTGAGACACACCAGAGGGGGCCGGATGGGGGGGCGGGGGGGGGAGGGGGGCAGGGACCACCAGGGAGGGAGGAACCAGGAAAAGGGGGGGAGTAACCGGGGGACCACGGTGGGGAAAGCGGCGGTAGAAGGAGACGGACTCGTCAAAGGTGACGTCGCGAGAGTGAAGGAAGCGGTGAGACGGCGGGTGGTAGAAGTGCCAGTCGGACGCGTCAAGGGGGAAACCGAGGAAGACGCAGGGGAGGGTGCGGGCAGTGAGCTTGTCCGTGCCAGAGGCACGAACGTGAGCAAGGCAGCCCCAGACGCGGAACGCAGACGCGTCACCAGGGGACCCGGTCCACAGAAGGGTCGGCGAAACCTGCGGCCGCTGGGGGTGCGGCCACAGGTTAAGCTGGTGAGCGGCGTAGCGCACGGCGAACGGCCACAGAAAATGGGGTGCACCGGCGTGGATCATGGAGGTGCGAGCCACCTCCATGACCAAACCGATGCGTTGCTCAGCGACCCCATTCTGCTGCGGGGAGTCCGGCAGGGTAAACGTCTGGGTGATGCCCTCCGCACGACAGAAGCGACCAAGGACACCTGAGGCAAACTCGCCACCCCGGTCGGAGTGAAGGCGCAAGGCAGGGAGACCGCGGTGGACACGAGCAGAGACAAGCCAGGGGATGAGAACGTCAGGCACGTCGGCCTTCCGCTCCAGGGGGAAGACGGTGGTGTAGCGCGTGAAGTCGTCGACAAGCACTAGGAAGAAGCGCTCGCGACGCGGCCCATGGACCGGGGCTGGGCCCCAGACGTCCATGTGCAGAGTCTGCAGTGGTGCGGTGGTAGGGGGAAAAGAGGAGGAGTGAGGGGCACGGCGGAGCCGGCCCTCGATACAAGGCGTGCACGGTGGGGCGGGGGAGGAGGGAAACTCGGGGAACGAACCGGGGAGACCAAGGACGAGACCGTGCTGGGACATGTGACGCAGACGTGGGAGTGCAGGGTGACCAAGGCGGTGGTGCCAAAGGAGAGTCGGGTGAGTGAGGGACCGACAGGAGCACGCGGCTGCAACCTGGGTGGACGCAACTACCGGGGGGGAAGACCCAGCCGGGGACGGCGCGGTGTCAAGTGTGAACAGGCCGGACACCGGGTCCCGGGGGAAAGTGGTAAGGGGGGCACCAGTGGCGGCCTCGGTACAGACAGCATACCGCTCGTGACCAGGGAACGTAGTGGTGACGCCAAGGTCCTGGAGGCAGCCGACACCAACTAGGTTCCTGGAGAACGAGGGGATATGCAGACCTGTGAGAGTGCCCGAAGGAACCGCCGGACAGGGAAGGGAGGTGGAACTGCGGGCAACGACGGGACCACCGGAGGGGTCAGCAAGAGTAACTGCAGCGGGAACAGGCAGCGGCGTCAGCGTCGTGGAGTCGCGGAAGAAACACCGGGAGGCGCCAGAGTCCAAGGTGAAGGAAAGCGCAGCAGTCGCGCGAGGCAGCAGTGAAGCGGTGGAAGCACCAAGGCTAAGCAAAGCAGGAGATCCTACGCCTGACGCAGCAGGGGAGTCTACGCTAGGCACCGCTACACTAGGCAACACGGGGTAATAAGAGGGAAGCACACTAGAGTCATCAGCATACATCACATGCAAGGCCGCTACAATGGCATCCATGTCCAAGTCAAAAATCCTAACGCGACGCCTAAGCAAGCTGTGCCAGTCCGGGAGGTCGGGCGCCGGGCCAAAGCGCTGGCGGAACAGGTCGTCCAGGCGACGAAAACAGCGAGGAGTAGAATGACCGATCTTACCGCAAACGAAGCCGCGGCGAGGACCGGTCTGAATCTGGTACTGACAGGGCCCGCCTCCAGAACCACCACCCGGTGCACCACCACCAGCTCCAGGCCACCCAGGTGGGAGAGTACTCGCCTGCCTCGTCTGCGGCGGCTGCTGCGGCTGCTCCGAAGGCTGCGGCTGCGGCGACTGCTACTGCTGCGGCTGCTGCAACTGTGGAGGCAGCGGGGCAGCTGGACCGGGCAGGGTCCCCACGTCCGCACTGGCACCGGACGACCCGCCTCCACCACTACCCCCACCCGCACCCCCGCCGCCTCCGCCGCTCCCAACCTTGGGGCGGCGGCCCTTCGCCGAGCGGGACTGCACTGCAGCAGCAGTCTCAGCCACAGCGACAGAGCCGTCGGAGAAGGTACACTGAGCGGGGGCACAACCCTGAAAGATAGGGACCGGTACTGTACCGCTCGCCAGGGCTATGGAGCGGTGACGAGTCTCTATGGCAGTCAGGGTGTCAACAAAGTCGGTGAGGGTGAGAGCAGCAGGGTGGATGCTAAGGAACTGGTCGCGGGCGGCGGCAAGGCGGTCAGGTAGGCGGGTGGCAAGGAGGTAGAGGGTAGAGGTCATGGGAGGCTGGTGGACTCTAAGCTGAGCATCAGTGCAGGCAGCGCGCCAGGCCTCATCTATCGAGCGCAGGTGGGCAGCGAGGTCAGAGACAGTGGGGAAAGACGCCAGGTCAGGAAAGAGCAGGGGAAGGATCAGGCGACCCACTGAGGCAGCAGGAGGGGTAGAATAGCGCTTGATGACAGCATCGAGGTAGGCCTGGGCGGTAGGAATGGTTCTAAAGCGAGGGCGCTCAGTGGGGGGGAGGGCATTGCTAATGGCGAGCTGAGCAAGGGCATCGCGGGAAAGCCAGACAGAGCGGGCAAGGGCAGCAGCGGCAGTGGACTCGCGCTCAGCGGGCGTGGGATCAGCGGGCAGCACAGCAGGGGGGTCAGGGCAGGGGAGCATACCGTCTAGGTGTGCAGAAAGCGGGTGGCCGTCCTGCCGCTGGCCAGTGAGGTGGCGGCGAAGGTCAGCCAACCACGCCTCGAACTCCAGAGGCTGACCCTCAACATCAAAACGAAGCTCAGCAGCCATGAGGGGCAGTGGAGGACAGTGCAGTGCGGTGCAGTGCGATGCAGTGCGGTGCAGTGCGGTCCAGTGCGGTGCAGTGCGATGCAGTGCGGTGCTGTGCGGTCCAGTGCGGTGCAGTGCGGTCAGTGCGATCCAGTGAGGTGCAATGCGATGCAAGGCGGGGCAGGAAAGTGCAGGAGGGTGCAAAGTGGTGCGGGGAACGGGGGACAGTACCAGGAAGTATGGAGGGCCGGGGCAGGTGCGTCGGGGCCGGGCAGGCACGACAAGGCCGGGCGGCGGCGACGGGGCCGGGCGGCTGCGACGGGGCCGGGCGGCGGCGACGGGGCCGGGCGGCAGCGACAAGGCCGGGCGGCTGCGACGTGGCCGGGCGGCTGCGACGGGGCCGGGCGGCTGCGACGGGGCCGGGCGGCAGGGACGAGGCCGGGCCGGACACAGCAGGGCCGGGCAGGGGCGACGGGGCCGGGCGGCTGCGACGTGGCCGGGCGGCTGCGACGTGGCCGGGCGGCTGCGACGTGGCCGGGCGGCTGCGACGTGGCCGGGCGGCTGCGACAGGGCCGGGCGGCTGCGACGGGGCCGGGCGGCGGCGACGGGGCCGGGCGGCAGGGACGGGGCCCGGGCAGGCCACAGCAGGGCCGGGCAGGGGCGACGGGGCCGGGCGGGCGAGCAGGGGCCGGGCAGGTGCGACAGGGGCCGGGCAGCCGCGACAGGGGCCGGGCGGGCGCCACGCGGCCGATAGGCCGCGACGGGGCCGAGCAGGGGCGACGGGGCCGAGCAGGGGCGACGGGGCCGAGCAGGGGCGACGGGGCCGAGCAGGGGCGACGGGGATGGGTAGGGGCGCGACGGGGCCTGGAGGGGCGTTACCAAGCCCAGGTAGGGGCGCGACGGGGCCTGGGGGGAGCGCAATGGGGCCCAGGAGGGGCGCTACGGGGCCTGGGAGGAGCGCGACTGGGCTAGGGAGGGGCGCGACGGGGCCTGGGAGGAGCGCAATGGGGCCCAGGAGGGGCGCTACGGGGCCTGGGAGGAGCGCGACGGGGCCCTGGAGGGGCGCTACCAGGCCCTGGAAGGGGCGCGACGGGGCCTGGAGGGGCGCTACGAAGCCCTAAAAGGGGCGCGACGGGGCCTGGAGGGGCGCTACGAAGCCCTGGAAGGGGCGCGACGGGGCCTGGGAGGAGCGCAATGGGGCCCAGGAGGGGCGCTACGAGGCCTGGGAGGAGCGCGACGGGGCCCAGAAAGGGGCGCAACGGGGCCCAGGAAGGGGCGCGACGGGGCTAGGGAGGGTCGCGACGGGGCTAGGGAGGGTCGCGACGGGGCTAGGAGCACGACGGGGCCCAGCTAGGGGGCGAGCGGAAGCGTGAGGGGAGGGGGGGGGGGGGATCCTACCTACGCGTGATACCATAACAAACAGTGAAATTGATGAATAGAGAGAGAGAGTACACAAACATATACCTAAATGTTGTACTCTCTAGAAGATAACCCTATACAGTCTATACAAGCATGATAACTAAACATGTTTGACACAGAGCTAGTCTAACCATGCGATGGGAAGGTTCGGGAAGGAGATCGAAGGGTCTCGAAGTGACGACGCGAGGCCTGGAGAACTCCCGAAGGTCGAACCGAAAGGTCTGGAGAAGCCGAGGCGGTTCTGTCAGAAGGTCTGGAACAGTCCCGAGGCTTCAGGTGTGTTCGAGCGTACGCGATAGCAGTACCGCTCGGTAAGGAATGGAAAATTCCTTACAGAATGTGATGTGACAGTTACCATTGAACTGATTTTACATCTGCTAGTATTGAGTTCGTTTGTGCGAACCAGCATCGTCGGATCGCAGAAGTTAGCCTTCGCTCGGCCAAATCACCAGAAATGTAAGGGTGCCGAGATTCTCCAAGAAGTCTCCTATCCTACGCAGTAGCTTCCACGACATCTGATGGTATTCACGACTGATCCTCCCTTCCCGTTCAGCTTCGCAATCCACCCAATGCGTCAGCATGGAAATGGTAGCGAATCTCGAAGCAGAGCTGTACCGGTTGCGGAGAGACCGACGCTTGCTGTTGGCGAACCTCCTAACATCGTTGGCGGCGAAGGGCTGGTCAGAATCGGACTTGGACAGGATCAACGTGGATTACATCCTCTGGTGCGCCACGTCAGGTAGGGCTATCCGCTGAATCCCGAAGGCGCCGTTACCTTCATCTTATACCTACACGTCTTGACGTGACGCGCTTCATCTAGCATCCCTCGCTTACGCTCGTGCGTGTATCCGTCAAGTCAAGTGCTCCGTGCTCACCTTCTGAATAACCGTTGAAAATATGTAAAGCCTATATTCGTTCTTCCGCTTGGCTTCTTCCTCCGAATGTTTCGTGAAGTACGAGTTCCCGTCACCTGCTCCTTATCTGTTTGAGCTTTTCCTGCTCTCTAGTCCTTGTGGACGTCCAACCTTTCCATTCCTGTGTAACTTCCAGGAACACGCGTGGACATTGAAGCAGCCATAACAGCCCAACCAACCCTCACTACGAGGGGTGAGGTGAGAGATCGACGCGCCTTTAATCTTAATGAGTATCTTTTCTCAGTGGATCTATTATGAGGGCTGCTGCACACGATTGAATTCTCTTGCTTCGGGACACATCACCTCTAGGCAAAGCAGACAAACCTCCACTTCCTTCCCTCCCGTTCTACGCCACCCGTTTCTTGGGTTCATTGCGTTATCCCGTACAACGCCGCCTCGCAGGCAGATTTCGTCACAGCATCCACCGTCATTCTCTCCTCCAAAGAGCCGTCCGGCCCTCCGCCTGCTCGCCTCGCTCCTGCGTTCCCAGTCCCCTCGCGCACAGTCCCTGAGTTCCCTGCGCCTCCTCGCCTCCCCCCTGAACCCCAACATTCCCGCCAAGTCTCCGAATTTTCTTCTGCTGCATGCGCTCCTGCTGCCCCTCCTGCTCCTGCCGCTCCTTCGGCTCCTGCTGCTACGGCCGCTCCTGCTGCTCCTTCGCTCCGTGCTGCTGTGCCTGGAGCCGCTTCAGATCATGGCTCCAACCGATTCACTGCTGCAGCAGGCGCAGGAGGAGCAGCAGCAGCAGCAGCAACAAGAGGCGGAGCAACAGTGGGTGGTTGGGGTGCAACACGAGCACAAGCACCCACTCTGAAAGAAACAGAGGCGATCTTAGCCCCACCTCGGCCACTCTTCCCCCCCTCTCCTCCAGCCCTACACCAGACCCTGGATTCGCCTCCCCCGCGCAAGCCTAAGCCGCAGCAACTAGCCAAGCAGCTGTTTGCCTCACCGTCTGCTGCCTCCCCTGAAGGCTACTCCACCGGGAGCGATGTCCGCTACTCCACAGGGACTGATGTCACAGGGGCGCTGAACTGGGGGGGGTGGGGAGCAGTGGGGGCGAGTGCCGTGGATGAAGGGGAGAAATTCGGACAGGACGAAAGAACGGCAGCAGCAGCAGCAGCAGCAGCAGCTGTAGCAGGAGGGGGAGGAGGGGGGGGAGGAGAGGGTGGCGGAGGAGGAGGAGGAGTTTTGAGGGAAAGCATAGGAGGAAGCGGCGAAGCACGGGAGAGTGTGGCGATGACGGCAGCACGGTCAGTGGAATCAGCTTCGGTGTTCGTGGCTTACTCTTCCTCTGCCTCCTCTGTGCACTCCATGTACGCCCTCTCTCAGGGGTCGAAGGGAACGCCAGACGCAGCAGCAGCAGCAGGAGCAGCAGCTGGAGCAGAAGCAGGAGCAGAAGCTGGCTGGGAAGCACCAGCAGGAGCAGCTGTTTGGGGAGGCCAGCCTTCCCCAGGTAAGCCCTCCCCATCAGCAACGTCCGGTCTAAAATATCCCACAAGTCCAGCGACAGGGTCTCCAAACCATGTGGGGATACCGTTAGGGGGATACCTGTCACAAGGAGACCCGTCTTCTCCACCGCTGCAAAACCCACAGAACCGTACAGACACTCAGTACCAGATCCGGCCGCCGCAGCCACTCTCCCCTCGGTCCCCTGCAGGCGCTAGGATTCCTGCGCCTGCCCAGGCGTCCCCTAGTATATCGCAAAGCCCTAGCAGCGCTACAGACACTCGGTATCAGATCTGCTCCCCTGCAGAGGCTCAGTGTGAGAAGCCGCCGCCGCCGCAACCACTCTTTCAGTACGAGAACCACTCTCCTCTTTCCCCTGCAGGCGCTGTGGGTGCTATGGGTGATGCGTCTGCCCAGCCGCCTTCCGGGGCACGATCGGCTGCAGCCGCAGCTGCTATGGCTGCACTTGGTGCGGCCACCTTTGGTGCTGCAGGCACTCCCCATGGGCAGTCCCAAACTCCTCATGCACCGACCCCATCACCCCATCGATACGGCTCGGATAGTGTAGCCAGCAGTGGAGCGGGAGGGGACCGCGCTTCTGTAGCCAGCAAAGGTGGTGGGGGCAGCGCTGGTAGCGTTTCTGTAGCCAGCAGCGGACACGGATTCGGTAATGCAACCAATTCTGGTGAACGGATAGGTGGTGGTAGTGCTGCTGCTGCTGCTGGCGCTGCAAGTGCCGCTGGTGGTGCGTGGAGTGTTGCTGGTGGTGGTGGTGATCAGGCCGGCGTTGCTAGTAACAGAAGTGCTGCAAGGACGGGAGCTTCAGCTGGGGGTGGTTACAATACGGGTTACAATGCAACACCAGCTACAGTAGAGTCTGGAAGAGGGGCAGCAGCAAGTGGGCTGGCATCAGGAGGAGGGGTTGCAGCAGCAGGGTCTAGAGCAGGGGCAGCATCAAAGGCTTCTAATGCCCCTCCGTCCGCCACCCCTGCTGCTGCTGCTGCTGCTGCAGCACGAGCTTCTGTAGCAGAAGCTTCTGTAGCAGAGGTTACTCCCCCCGTCCCAACCAAGCTAGATTTCCAATCTCCTTTTGGTGGTTCAGGAGGCCAGAAGAGTGAGAGAGGAAGAGCTGAGGTGTCTGGGGGAAAGGGAGGCGCCTTGGGTTTTGCCTGGAGATCTGGTGGGACGGATAAGAAGCTGCCACCTGGCACCGATGTGGAGGGTTTGGATGATGATGACGATGACAGTGATGACGTGGCGTCTTCTGATTCGTCCTCGTGTTCAGATTCGTCTGAGATGTCTTCCACGCTTGTGGCTGGGGGCACTGACGATGGTGGCGTGGACCAATTGGACGCTGCCAGCTCAGCAGGGCGTCTGAAGTGGCCGTTGCGCCAGGTGGCTTCTGGCCTGACTATGGAGGAGCTTCAAGCAAGCGCCTACGAAGTGATGCTACTGGCTGCTGCTGAATCGGGGTGAGCCCTCCTTTCCATGTGGGCCCGTATCCAGGTCGTATGCTGCTCTCAGTCAGAGAACACGTAAACTTGAATGATTGCGACTTAGCACCTTTTGCCCTCTCCCTCCTTCCCCCCATCTCCTGCCGCCACTTGCTCTCCTTATGAACAGGCGCACGATAATTCGCCCTACCCTTCTCGTCCCACCTCCCCCCATTGCCCTCCAGGTCGATATCTGCTCCAAGTTTTACCAGCACCGCCATCAGCAGCAGCAAAGCCAGCAGAAGGGCGACAAGCAAGGCTGAACCCTTCCTAGCCATCCATGTGTGTCGCTCCCTCCATGTACCCCGGCCCCTCCTCCCTCCCCCACCCTCCAGGTCCCTCCCCCTGTGGAGGCCTTCTTTCTCCCTGCCAAGAAAGAGGGCTCAACGTGGCCCAGCTTTCTCCCTTCATCTCCCGCTCCCCCTCCCACAGGTCTATATCAGCTCCCCCTCCATGTACCCCGTCCGTCCCCTGTGGAGATCTGCCTAGAAGGCAGGGGTCAGCGTGGCCCAGCTTACTCCCTTCGTCTCCCTCTCCCCCTCCCACAGGCCCATATCAGCTCCGGGGTCTTCCAGCGCCGCCTCCACCAGCAGCAGGAACGGGAGAAAAGGAGCAGGCAGGCCCGAGTCTCCTATGGAGCCCAAGTCCAAGTCCCCTGGGGGAGTCATGTCCCGCTTTGCCAAGAAAGTCGGGGTCAACGTGACCCAGGTCACTCCCTCCCTTCCCCCCTCTAACTTCCCCTCCTCTCCATTTTCCCCCTCTCCCGCTCCCCCTCCTCCAGGTCCATATCTGCTCCAAGCTCTTCCAGCACCGGCACCAGCAGCAGCAAGACTAGCCGAAGGGCGGCAGGCAGGCCCGAGTCTCCTGTGGAGCCCAAGTCCAAGTCCCCTGGGGGGTTCATGTCCCGCTTTGCCAAGAAAGTCGGGCTCAAAGGAGGCAAACCTGCTGATGCTGCTGGTGCTGCTGGTGGTGGTGCTGGTGGGAGTGGAGAGAAAAGGGGTGGGAATGGGAATGGAGGGGAGGGAGGAGGAGCTTTGCCTCCTGAGCTGATTCGCATGCGGCAGCAACTAGGGGTACGTGCCCGGTTGTTTCTCCCCTTGGTTTCTCTCCTATCCTATTCTTCTTCCCGTACAACCATCTATCCAACCCCGTTCTCCCCTTGCTTCTTGGACTTGTATCCGTCCAACTTCTGCCACCATCTACTTTTGCCTTCTACTTCTTCACATCAAGTTGCTGTAGGAATTCATTTTTGAGGAGTCTATTTTTCAAATAGACTCCTAGGCGCCTCAAAAATACTTTTACCTCCAGCTTCTTCACATCCAGTTGCAGTAGGAATTCCGTCGCTTTCTGCTTCCACGTTTAGGGTTTCAGGTCTTCAACACCCTCTCTTTCCTCCTCTCTTTCATCCTCTCTTTCATCCTCTCTTTCCTCCTCTTTTTCCTCCTCTCTTTCCTCCTCTCTTTCCTCCTCTCTTTCCTCCTCTCTTTCCTCCTCTCTTTCCTCCTCTCTTTCCTCCTCTCTTTCCTCCTCTTTTTTCTCCTCTCTTTCCTCCTCTCTTTCCTCCTCTCTTTCATCCTCTCTTCATCACCTGTCCATTCCTCTCCTGCGGCCCTGCTTTCCTGTGGGGCCCCCCTTTTTAGCAGGCACCCGAGTCTATTTTTGGCAGGCCCCCCTTTTTAACAGGCACCCGAGTCTCTCCACTCTCTCCTCTCAGCAATCTTCCTCCTTCCCCTGTCCCACACACTCGAAACGAAATGACATCTCCATCAGCCCCATCCCCATCCCTGCTTCCCTCTCCCCCCCATCACCAGGTACCCGAGTCCCTGCACTCGCTCCTGCTCCCAGCCATCTTCCTCCCTCCCCTCCCCTGTCCCACACCGTCGAATCGAAATGCCATCCCGCTTCAGCCCCTCTGCTTCCCTCTCCCCCCTATCACCAGGTACCCGAGTCTCTGCTCCCAGCCATCTTCCTCCCTCCCCCATCACACACTGTCGAAATGCCATCCCCCATCAACCCCCTCTCTCTGGTGCAGCAGCCGCGGCAGATAGTCCGTCCTATCTTCAACCTCTCTCAAATCCTTTCCACCGTCCCTGCTTCCCTCCCCGTATCACCAGGTACCCGAGTCTCTGCCCTCGCTCCTCCTCTCCGCCATCTTCCTCCCTCCCCCGTCCCACACCGTCCAATCGAAATGCCATCCCCAGCAACCTCCTCTCGCTGGTGCAGCAGTCGTGGCAGATAGTCCGTCCTATCTTCAACCTCTCTCAAATCCTTTCCACCGTCCCTGCTTCCCTCCCCGTATCACCAGGTACCCGAGTCTCTCCACTTGCTCCTCCTCTCGGCAGTCTTCCTCCCCCCCCCGTCCCACACAGTCGAGATGCCATCCCCCATCAGTCCTCTTGCCGGTGCAGCAGCAGTGGCAGCAGCAGCCGCCATCCCTCCCCTCCCTCTCCCGCTCTGCCTCCTCCTCCACCTCTCCCCCATCCCCTCCTCCCTCTCCTCCTCCTTCTCCCCGGGTGTTGGCACTCTGAAGTCCGCAGCTTCTTCTCTTGCTGCTTCGTTCGCCTCATTGTCTCCAGACGTGCGCAGAGCGTTCTACCTCAGACAGGTGAGAGAGCCGCCTCAAAACACTCCTCCTTCTCCTCCTCCTTCTCACATGGAGTTGGCTACTGCCTCATTCTCCTCACTATCTCCAGACCTGCGCAGAGCCTTCTACCTTAGACAGATGAGCATCCCTTTTGAGGCTGCTCAAAACCTTTCTCCCTCTCTTCTTCTCCCCTGACATTGACACTCAGAAGTCGGCTGCTGCATTACTTGCTGCCTCATTCTCCGCCCTCTCTCCACACTGCTTTTGAGGCGTCTCAAAAGCCGCCTCAAAAGCAGCCTCAAAAGCAGTCCGCTGCTGCATCCCTTGTGGGCTCATTCTCTGCGCTGTCTCCAGACCCGCACAGGGCGTTCTGTTTGAGGGAGGTATCTGTTTGTTTCTCTTGTATTTGTATAGATATGTGCAATTTTTTGTGTGGAAGTGCCACAGTTCTCAAATATCTCACATGCACACCTTTTGCCTCATTCTGCATTTGGCTTCTCCTCTCCAATCCACCCTCGCCTCCTTTTGAGTCGACTCAAAGCATTCTGCATTTTGCTTCTCCTCTCCAATCCACCCTCGCCTCCTTTTGAGTCGACTCAAAAGCATTCTGCATTTTGCTTCTCCTCTCCAATCCACCCTCGCCTCCTTTTGAGTCGACTCAAAAGCATTCTGCATTTTGCTTCTCCTCTCCAATCCACCCTCGCCTCCTTTTGAGTCGACTCAAAAGCATTCTGCATTTTGCTTCTCCTCTCCAATCCACCCTCCCCTCCTTTTGAGTCGACTCAAAAGCATTCTGCATTTTGCTTCTTCATTCCAACCCACCCCTCGCCACCTCTCACCACCCCAGGTGAAGCTGCTCCAGGAACTGCTGCTGGATCTGACAGGCACAGCAAAGAACCAGGGTGCAGAGAAGGGAGGAGAAAGAGGAGGGGTAGGGGAGGGAGACGAGTGTGCTGAGGTGGCAGCCTCTTTGGACGCCATGCTGGCACTTGTCAAGGTGAGCTGGGCGCTGGTGCTATCTCCCACCCGTGCATCCACAGTCACATGCTCGGAGTGTCAGTCAGCTCCCTAAACCTGCACCCTCCTTTTCCGCTTTCCCCCATGCTTTTGCCCCCTTCCTGGTCCCATTCACTCCTATCCTACCGAGTTAGGGCCACCGGGTCATCACCCCTCCATTGAGGCCAAAGGCTCAGTGGTCGCTCTTCTTGAGAATACCACTTGGTGGTGGTTTTAGCCATACGTGGCAGCGGGCTGTAAAACACTGTTGTTTTGTTGGTCATCACCCCTCCATTGAGGCCAAAGGCTCAGTGGTCGCTCTTCTTCGTCACCTTTCCCCCCTCCTCTCCCCCTCCTCTCTCCCTCCTCTCTCCCTCCTCTTCCCCTCCTCTCCCCCTTCCTCTCCTACCCATGGACCCACACTTTTTCGAGTTCTCCCAGGGCCACGCGTTCATCACCTGGCCCCCATCATTCGAGGCCACATGGAGCCGCCAGGCGATGATCTTTGCTGTTCTGCCCAACCCTCGCCCCCGTCATCCCATGTCCCTTCCTTCCGCTCCCTCTCCTACCCCCCAATCCCATCCAGGGCCACGAGTTCATCACCTCGCCCCCATCCTTCGAGGCCAAGTGGAGCCGGAAGCTGAGCGAGCTGCGCTGGCTGCTGGTGGGGGGATTCGCCTGGGGCGGCAGGAGAGGGAACGCAGCAGCATTGGCTGCAGCAGCAAGCAGCAGCAACGCCAGCCATGGCAAGCAGCTGCCCGTGCTGCCTGGTGCCTGGTGCCCCTCTAGGGCGAGCTTGAATGCTTCGCTTTACCATCGGCTGCTGTCTGCGTGCTGTGATCCCTCGGACTCAGCCTCCTTCAACGACCTCCTCTTTGTAAGCACAGCATGCAGCAACAATCCCACTGGTGGCGATCTTGGCAAGCAATTGCCTGTGCTGCCTGGTGCCTGGTGCCTGGTGTCTGGTCCCTGGTGCCTGGTTCTGGTGCCTGGTGCCTGCTGCCTGGTGTCTGGTGCCTGCTGCCTGCTGCCTGCTGCCTGCTGCCTGCTGCCTGCTGCCTGCTGCCTGCTGCCTGGTGCCTGGTGCCTGGTGCCCACAGCAAGCAGCAGCAGTGCTAGTGGTGCCTGCTGTACCATCAGCCTTCTTTTTTTAAAATGCTGGTTTCAACTTCTGCTTATCGTTGCTTCTACCGTTTTTGTTGGCTTGGATTCTGCCCCGCTCCTGTGGCTTCCCTCCCCACCCCTCTCCTATTATATGCAGGAGATGGAGGAGAGAGTGGAGGCCCTCAGATCCACGTGGCAGCCTCTGGGAGTGACACCTGTCACACACAGTGCCCTGCAAGCGTGGACTCTCTGCCACAAGGTGCGGTGCGTGCACAGTGACAGGAAAATGCGCCTTCAGAAGTTCAGATGGCCTTTCACAAGGAATAATAAACCCCAGAACTCACTAGTCGGATCCACTGCAATCTGCTGCACTTGTTCTTGAGAATTCTAAAAAACTAAACACATTCAGACGGCCTTTCACAAGGAATATTAAACCCCAGAACTCACGAGTCGGCTCCACTGCAATCCGCTGCACTTGTGACCGCTACTGTGTGTCATATGGATCCCCCTCTCTCTCGCCTTCTTGGGCCCTCTTGTCCTTCTGTCTTTCCGTCTGTCGTTCTGCACTTTGTCTTTCTTCCCATGCCCCTTTCTGCCCCTTTCTGCCCCTTTCTGCCCCTTTCTGCCCCTTTCTGCCCCTTTCTGCCCCTTTCTACCCCCTTCTGCCCCTTTCTGCCCATTTCTGCCCCTTTCTGCCCCTTGCTGCCCCTTTCTGCCCCTTTCTGCCCCTTTCTACCCCTTTCTGCCCCTTTCTGCCCCTTTCTGCCCCTTTCTGCCCCTTTCTGACCCTTTCTTCCCCTTTCTGCCCCTTTCTCCGTATCATCCACATCTCTGGATTGCCCATGTCCCTCCCCTCCCCCATCCCCCCCACAGGCCTCAGTTCCCACTCGCCCTCACCCACCACACACACCACTATCACCATCACCATTAACGGCTCAGCTGCAGCAGCTCCTACGAATCAGAGCAGTGCTTCCTCTCATCTATGTTCCTCCCTTCTCCCCCATCCCCCCCACAGGCCTCAGTTCCCACTCTCCCTCACCCACCACACACACCACTATCACCATCACCATTAACGGCTCAGCTGCAGCAGCTCCTACGAATCAGAGCAGTGCTTCCTCTCATCTATGTTCCTCCCTTCTCCCCCATCCCCCCCACAGGCCTCAGCTCCCACTCTCCCTCACCCACCACGCGCACCACTGTCACCATCACCATTAACGGCTCAGCAGCAGCAGCTTCTGCCAATCAGAGCAGTGATTCCTCTCATCTGCCAATCACTGCGCCGCCTGCCACCTACTGCCTGTGCACGACCACCATCATCATCAACAGCAGCAGAAACAGCACCAGCCGCAGCAGCAGATGGCAAAGAGGAGCCTTCAGCGAAGGTTCCGCTTCGGCCGTTTGTGCAGTCAGTGTCTCGATTCCTGTCGTCGCTCTTGAGTGACTACCACCACACCCTGCTGGAGGTGAGTGGTTATCACCCGCCCCCTGGCTTGAGTTGAATCCGCAGCTGTATGCCTTTTTTACCTCGCATAATTCCTGTTCTCCAACCCATGCATCTCAACCCCAAACCCATGCATTCCTGTGAATCATCAGACCCCCATCGCCAGTGGTACCGGCATGAGTGCGGATGGGTTGGCAGCACTGGAGTCTGCGCTGGACTCATACAGTACAAGTGCTGCTGTGGTCTGCCTCCTGCTGCTCTCCCATACCCCACCTAGCTCAACCCCCTTCTCCTGCCCCTTCCCCTGCCCTTTTCTCCGCCTGAACCTTCTGGGCCCCGTCGCCAGTGGTACTGGCATGGGTGCAGATGGGTTGGCAGCACTGGAGTCTGCCCTGGCCTCGTTCTTCTGCTACTGTGATCTACTGTCTGTCGCTCTTACATAACCCACCTACCTCCCCTCCCATACGCCTCTGCCTCTTCTTAACCCCGACCCCTGCCCCTTCAGGCCTCCAGCGCCAGTGGCAGTGCTATGAGTGCGGATGGGTTGGCAGCACTGGAGTCTGCCCTGGACTCGTACCTCTGCTGTTGTGCTCTGCTGCCTATTGCTCTCCACCTACCTCCCCTCCCATGCGCCTCTGCTTCTTCTTTACCCCGACCCCTGCCTGGTCAGGCTTCCAGTGCCAGTGGCAGTGCGATGAGTGCAGATGGTTTGGTGGCATTGGAGTCTGGCCTGGGCTCACACCTCTGCTGCTGTGATCTGCTGCCTATTGCTCTCGCATACCCCACCTACCTCCCCTCCTGTATGCCTCTGCCTCTTCCCTACCCCGATCCCTGCCCATTCAGGCTTCCAGTGCCAGTGGCAGTGCCATGAGCGCGGATGGGCTGGCAGCACTGGAGTCGGCCCTGGACTCGTACCTCTGTTGTTGTGATCTTCTGGAGGCAGGCAGGAAGAGAAACAGCCACAGACACACGGTAAGAGGGGAGGAAGGGTTACAGGAGGGGGAGTGAGTGGCTGTTTTTTAGGTGTCTTAAAACGCGTTCTACTGGGTGCGCTGGAGGTGCTCATGAGGGCAAGCAGCTTTGGAGTCTGCCCTGGACTCGTAACTGTCCTGCTGTGATCTTCTGGAGGCGGGAAGGAAGCGGAACAGCCACAGACACACAGTGAGGAGGGGAAGGGGGAGGGCAGGGGGGGTTGGGGGGGCGACAGAAAAGTGTGGGGGAGGGGATAGGGGAGGTTTTGACGCGTTTCAGCTGTTGTTCCTTCTTGTGATGACAAGCAGCACTGGATTCTGCCCTGGACTTGTACCTGTGCTGCTGTGATGTGCTGGAGCTGGGCAGGAAGAGGAGTAGCCACTGATACATGGTGAAGGGGGGGGGCATAAGGGGGAGTGCGGGAGAATGTTTTAGACGTGATGCATGCCGATGACGTGCTGTGCCAGTTGTTTATAGCTGTGTCGCTGTGTCTCCTTTTGTGCTTTGTTCGCTGTTTCTCCTCCAGACTCCAGGAGCACCAACTGCAGAGCGAGTGGAGGAGGTACTCGAGTTCGTGCACATGTCTGTCCTCTCCTCCTTCGATCGCACCTGCCTCGACGGCAGCAGTGGCTCATCAAGCCCAGCAGCATGCACAGGACGAGTGCGCAGGATCTAAGCGCCTTGGTCTCTGAGCTGCCCTAAAAGCCGTGCATGTGTATTTGCATGTGCGTGCTTTGTTCACCCTTTTTTCCCCAGGCCCCAGGGGGAGCACCAAGTGTGGAGCGAGTGGAGGAAGTACTCGAGTTTGTGCACATGTCAGTGCTCTCCTCCTTCGACCGCGCCTGCCTCGATGCCATGGCAGCGGCTCAAGCCCAGCAGCACGCACAGGACGAGCGCGCAGGATCTACCTCCCCTTCCTCCTCCCTTTCCCCCACTAATCGACCCAACGCCCACAATCCCACAAGTGCCACGAGCAGAGACTTCAGATCATCAGGTTCTAGTGGCGAGGTGGGGTTGGCTCAAATGGCTGAGCTGGCGAGTGTGATCATAGAGAGGGAAGCTGGGGGTATGGGGGGGAGGGGAGACGGGCGAGCAGGAAAGGGAGGAGGAAGAGGAGGGGGAGGGGGAGGAGAGGGAGGGACGCCAAAGGGTGGGTGCTGTGCGGTGTTTCAGAGGCTGGGGGTGTTTGGCACAGCGGCAGTGGCAGCAGCAGCCCTGCACCAACAGCTGGACTCACAGCTAGTGAGTGGACGCAAGGCTTGGCTAAAATAATCTCTGAAGCTACCTAGCTAATCTAGGGCGGTTTAGGCCGACTGCCATGGAAGACCGCTTAGGGTTTAGGGCCCCGTCTTTACTCCTTTTTCCCAAACTGTGTTCTCCCTCTCCAAATACAAAACACCCATTATTAGGACCCGTTTCTCTCGGTGGTATCAGAGCTGCACCCCGGCTGCTGCAAGGTGTTCTCTGCTGTGGACGCCTTTGACAGGCGCGTGCTCCAGGTGGTGGGGTGATTCATATATGATTTGACTTATGCCCCTATCTCAAACCCACCCACTTCCCCCCCCCAACACCTCAACACCGCCTGCATTCCAACTTTCCAGGACCGCTTTCTGTCAGTGGCATCAGAGCTATCGGACTGCTGCTAGGTGCTCTCTGCTTTTTCAGGCAGGTTCAGCGTGCAGTGGCTGATACACATATGTCTCATACCCCTGTCCCTCCCCCCCCCAAACTGACCCTCCAGGATCCCTTCCTATCAGTGGTATCAGAGCTACACCCCGACTGCTGCAAGGTGTTCTCTGCGGTGGATGCCTTTGACAGGCGCGTGCAGCAGGTGGTGCAGCTAGAGGTGCGGGCGGAGGAGGAGAGGGCAGCAGTAGGAGGAGAGGGAGAGCGGCACGGGGGATACGGCCATGCTGCACAAATTGCCAGCGAGCTGAACGCTTATCAGGTAAGCCCCCCAAAAAGTTTGGACGCCTTTGACAGGCGCATGCAGCAGGTGGTGCAGGGGGGGGTTAAGGGCGGAGGAGGAAAGAACAGCTCATGCAGAGGGGCTTGGGGGTTACGGCCATGCGGCGCAGATTGCCAGCGAGTTTGAACCCATACCAGGTAGGTTCTTGACAGGCGCATGACGCAGATTGTGAAGGGGTGAGTGTGGGCGGAGGAGGAGAGAACTGCAGCTGGGGGGGCGCGCACAGAGGATACGGCCATGCGGCTCAGACTACCAGCGAGCTTAATGCATACTGGGTATGTCTGTGACAGTTGGGTGCGGCACTGTAGGTGGTGCAAGGGGAGGTAAGGTGCAGAGCGGAGTGCAGGGGCGGTGGGAGAGCGGCATGGGGGATATGGCCATGTGGCACAGATTGCCAGCGAGATAATCGTCTCCTAGTAAGCCCCCGAGGACTTGAAGTGTGGACGCCTGTGACTGGCAGGCAGGTGCAGCAGTGGTGCAGCAGTGGTGCAGCAGTGGTGCAGGAGGGGGGGCGCAGAGGCGGAGGGACGACGAGTTTGTTCTCTGGCAGACTGTCCCCATGGCTGCACATGCCATCCGCCCCTCCCTCCCTCCCCATCTGCCACGTGATATCTCCTGTTATCTATGTCTCCATCTCTTTTTAGTCGACTCAAAAGCAGTCTTTTTAGTCGACTCAAAAGCAGTCTTTTTAGTCGACTCAAAAGCAGTCTTTTGAGTCGACTCAAAAGCAGATGTCTCCATCTCTTCCTCTGTCCCGTCCTCTCAGATCGACCCTGTGTTGAAGCGTCTGTTCTCTGCCTGGGTCTCGTCCCAGCAGCAGAAGCTGCACGATGCTACGAGCCATGCTTCCATCCCCATGGAACTTCCTCTTTATATCTCTCTCCACCACTGTCTGTTCCCGCCCTCTCAGATCGACCCTGTGATGAAGCGGCTGTTCTCAGCGTGGGTGTCGTCGCAGCAGCAGAAGCTGCATGTGTGGTTGGAGAGGGGCGTAGAGGCGGAGGTGAGGTGGGGGGGCTGGGGGGGGAGGTTGCTAATTAGTCAAACTCTGTAGATTTCTTGGGTTGGGGGGGAATTTTCAAACCAACACCCAGCAGTATCGCAGCAGCAGAAGCTGCATGTGTGGCTGGAGGGGTGCGTGGAGGCCGAGGTGAGAGGGTAGGGTGGGGGACGGGGAGGGGGGGGGGAGAGGCGGGGGGAGTTGTGTGGTGGGAAGAGTTACTGGCAGCCATATTTTGAGTCGACACAAAAGAGGGGGGGGGGGGAGGTGACTTTTGAGTCGACTCAAAAGGGGAGGGGGGAGGTGACTTTTGAGTCGACTCAAAAGGGGGGAGAGGAGGGGGGAGTTGTGTGGTGGGAAGAGTTGCTGGCAGCCTTTTTTTTTAATACGGGAAATATTAGTGAGGGTAGTGCTGGGGAGTTTGCCGTAAGATAATACGCATCCTAGCAGCAGAAGCTGCTCGTGCGATGAGCCCTGACCTGCTCGTGTGATGAGCCCTGACCTGCTCGTGCTCGTCTTCAGTAATTGTCTTCTTCTTACGCCACCTGTATTTTCCACACCTACCCCTGCTGCTGCAGACATTCGAGCCTGCTTCAGATTCTCTCAAGCACTGTGCATCCGCAGTGGATGCCGTGCGACTGGTGGAGGAGGTAGGTGTGACTGGTGAAGGCCGCTTCTGTGACTAGTTTGCCACCTTACGGCACTCCCCAGCACAGTAGTTTTTTCCCGCCTGGGCCTGTCCCACCGTCTACACAGCAGCAACTCGCGCAACCTATGCCTGTCCCACTACCTACGCTGCAGCAAATCGCGCACAGCAGCAACTCGCGCACAGCAGCAACTCGCGCACAGCAGCAGCAACTCGCGCACAGCAGCAACTCGCGCACAGCAGCAACTCGCGCACAGCAGCAACTCGCGCACAGCAGCAACTCGCGCACAGCAGCAACTCGCGCACAGCAGCAACTCGCGCACAGCAGCAACTCGCGCACAGCAGCAACTCGCGCACAGCAGCAACTCGCGCACAGCAGCAACTCGCGCACAGCAGCAACTCGCGCACAGCAGCAACTCGCGCACAGCAGCAGCAACTCGCGCACAGCAGCAACTCGCGCACAGCAGCAACTCGCGCACAGCAGCAACTCGCGCACAGCAGCAACTCGCGCACAGCAGCAACAGCCTCAGCTTTTGAGTCTGCCTTTGAGTCGACTCAAAAGCTTTTGAGTCTGCTTTTGAGTCAACTCAAAAGCGACATCCTCATGTGCTCCTTCATTGGAAAGGTATCCTCATTCAGCCCCAGGGACGACCTCAAAGTCTCTTCCTCTCCCCCTTATCCCTCCCCACTTCCCGAAAATACAGGTTCTGGAGCAGTTCTTCCGTCTGGGCCTTCCCCCCCGCCTCCCCATGCTGCAGCAGATGGTTCACAGCAGCGATACGCTCATGGCGTCGTATGTGGCAAAGATCTCCTCAGTGGGCCCCAGGGACGACCTTAAAGTCCCCCCTCCCCCCCTCACGCGCTTCAAAGAGGATGTGGCTCAGAAGTTAGCCGACAAGGCAGAGAGGAGGGCGGAGAGGGAGGAGAGGGTGCAGAAGGGGAGGGCGGGGTACCTGGAGGGTCTGTGGCATGCGAGAAAAGGGGTGGGAGGAGGGGGAGGGGGAGGGGGAGGGGGAGGGAAGGTGGGGGTTCGGGCGGTGGATGCTGTGAAGGCTGCTGCGATTGACGCGCTGACTGTGGGGAAGCTGTGCGTGCGGATAAACACTCTGGAGGTGAGGTGAGGTGAGGTGAGGTGTTGGTGTGTGTGCAAATGAACATTGTAGAGGTGAGCTTAACAGCGTGAGCATTAGGGAGTTGAGTGGGACAGTGTGAGCATTAGGAGGGGGGGAGGGAAGGTGGGGGGTCCGGCGGTGGATGCTGTGAAGGCCGCGGCGATTGACGCTCTGACTGTGGGGAAGCTGCGTGTGGATCAACACTCTGGAGGTGAGAATCGGGTGAGCGTGCGGTTTTATTTGTACTGTAAAGGCGAGTCTAGAAGTTTGAGTGAGGGCTGTAGATATGGATGCGCGGAGAGTGGGGAAGCTGTGCATGCGGATCAACATGCTTGAGGTGAAAATTAGCCATGCATGTGGGTTAATGCTGTCGAGGCGAGTCTTGAAGTGTAGGCTGTGTTGAGCTGAGTGTGCGGGCTGCTGTTTGTTGAGCTGAGCGTGGGGAAGCTGTGCGTGAGATTAGGGCGTGTGTATGGGTTATCACAGTGGAGGTGAGGTGTGGGTGTGTATGTGGGTTTTTTGTACCGTAGAGGCAAGTCTCGAAGTGTGTGTGGAGGCAGATGCTGATGACGCGTTGAGTGTGGGGAAGCTGTGTGTACGGGTCAACTTGCTTGAGGTGAGGTGTGGACGGGTTTATGCTGTAGGGGCGAGTCTAGGTGCTTGTGCAGGTTGCTGCTGCTGTTGATGCGCTCTTTCATCCCATCTCTTCTCCTTGCCTCTCCGCTTGCTTCCCTCGCACCAGTTTGTGACAGCACAGCTCGATAAGGCGCTCTGCGAGCAAGCGTTGGGACGAGTTACTACAAGTACACTCCACACCTCATCTCCTTCCCTCCCTTCTCCACTCTTCTCCTCTCCCCTTCCATCACTGCTCTTGCTTCCCCTAATCTCCTCTCCACGCCTCTCCCCTTGCACCAGTTTATCACAGCAGAGCTCGATAAGTCCGAGAAGGCTCTCTGTGAGCGTTGGGACGAGTATGCTCCGCACCTCAAGATCGATGACATGGCAGGTGAGCATGCTGAAAGGGCAGGTGAGCATGCTGACAGGGCAGGTGAGCATGCTGACAGGGCAGGTGAGCATGCTGACATGGCAGGTGAACCTAAGCAAGTCCTCATGTAACCCTCAATTCATGTCCCCTTCTCATATGAACTGATGCACTGCTTCTCGAAATCTCCTTATTTTTGAGGTGCCTCAAAAATAGGCTTCTCGAAATCTCCTTGTTTTTCTTCCCCCTCGCTCTTTGCAGCCATTACATAGTGCCTCTTTTCACCTTTGCTCCTCTATCCCCCTCCTGCAGCCCTCGCCCCATCCCAGCTGGACTCTTCTCTCGCCTTCTGACTGTCCACAGCGCGCATTGCAGGGCTCAAGAGTGGCTTTGTTATAGAATAATCTCTTCCCCGCCCTCCCCCTTCCCCTGCTCGCCCTCCACCCTCCTACTCTTGCAGGCTTAGCTCCGTCTCAGGTGACCTCCTCCCTAGCCTTCCGCATGTCTACGGAGGGCATTGCTGGGCTGAAGAGGGGAAGCTTCTTCGAGCAGACCAACTCCCTGACAGCGCAACGCATGCAGACCCTGTCGGACTATCTTGGTGAGTGTGTGTGGGAACGTAACCCTTAGTGACCAACTCCCTGGCAGCAAAGCGCATGCAGAATCTCACAGATTATCATGGTGAGCGGATTAAGTTTGGCATTCCAATCATATTTCTGAGGTGCCTCAAGTCTGGGGCTTCTCGCACAAACCACTCCCTTGTAGTGCAGTGCATGCAAACCCTACCCCTAGCCCAAGGTGGTGTGGTGGGATCTGAGGGAGGCGTACCTGGCATCCCAACCAATCCGTATAGCTCTCCTATTTTTCCTGCCTTGCCCATGCATGCAGCCACCAAGGTTGCATGGTGGGATCTGAGGGAGGCGTACCTGACTCCTGCTGCATAGAACCCTCCCAATCAGAAACAAACCCTCCTCTTTTCCTCCCATGCCCATACATGCAGGCACCAAGGTGGTGTGGTGGGACCTGAGGGAGGCGTTTCTGGAGGAGCTGTACCGTGTGAGTGTGGACTCTTGCCGCATGAGCCACCTCATGCAGAGACTCGACCCAGTAAGTGGGCCGATTATGACTGATTTTTGTGAAGGCGTGAGCATGAGGAGCTGTACCGCGTGAGTGTGGATTCATGCTGCATGAGCCACCTCATGCAGAGACTAGACTAGACCCTGTGAGGAGATTATGGGTTTTACTGCTGGAAGTTTTCCTCCTCCTCGTCCTTGTGGCTGGTGGATTTGTGACATTCAATTGAGCTTATTTCTTAATCTGTAATCGCGGCTGGCTCTCCCTGTTTCAATATCTGCCTCCCATGCCTGGACTCTCTCTAACATGCGTGTTTTCTGATCTGAGTCGACGCAAAAGCAGTTGGCTCTCCTATTTTAGTCTCTTCCTCCCATGCCGGGGCTCTTTCTACTATGTGTGTGTTCCCGGTTGTTGTATCCGCCTGTGTGTATTCTGAAATGGCAGGTGTTGGGGGAGATAGTGGAGACCGTATCCGACTCTCTAAGGGACCATGTTGTCACATCTCTCCTGCACTCTGTTCTGGTACCGATCCTTTCCTGCTATTTATGATCGCACCTTCACTATGCCGTGTTCTTTGATATATTAATCTGTCCATTTTTCGCTGTCCTAAAAATAGACCCTTCCACCTCCACCCTACACTTACACTGGTTCTGCCAGGAGGGACTGCTGCGAGTGCTTCTAGATGGTGGCCCCCTGAGGGTGTTCGCCCAGTCAGACTATGATGCTCTGGAGGATGACCTCCGCATACTCAAGGTGAGAAGCTGGCACGACATGGCATGACATGGCATGACATGGCATGACGTGTTTCAAACACAGTCAGACTATGATGCTCTGGAGGATGACCTCTTGATATTCAAGGCGAGTGCTGTACATGGCATGACATGACGTGACATGACATGAGATGAGATGGCATGGCATGAGATGGCATGGCGTGGCACAGCATAGCATAACATGCCATTGAAAATTATGAGACGACCCGGCAGCTCGCCCTTATATTTGTGCACCCTGCCTCTTCTCCCCCATCCACCACACATCAGGGATTTTTTGTAGCGAGAGGCAAGTGCATCTTTCTTGCACCTTCTCCCTCCCCCATTCCCCCTTCCCCCTCCTTCCCTTCTCCTTGTACCCCAGGAGTTCTTTGTGGCGAGTGGCAATGGTTTGCCTCAGGAGGTGGTGAACAAGGCAGCGGCTCAGGTGCAGCAAGTGCTCAACTACTACTCGCTCGATGTGAGTGCACTGCAGCTAAGGCATCTTTGCTCATGCGCCACCAAAACAAGTGAGGAGGTGGTGAGGAGCCACCAGACCAAGGCAGCAGCTCAGGTGCAGCAAGTGCTCAACTACTATTCCTTTCGATGTGAGCTCGTTGTTGTAGTGTAACGGATATTTTTGTCAAACAAAATATCACCCATAGCTTGTTTGACGGTTCTCAGCAGCTCAGGTGCAGCAGTTGCGTAACTAACTCCCTTGATGTGAGTGCAACACATATGCTGCTCACTTGATGTGCGCCTATCGCACTTGTACTACAGACGCTGTCAACAAAAGTTTACTTTTTCAATTCCATCTCTACAATTCATAACTCATACATGCGCTCTCCCCTGACTCATGCCCTCACCCATTCCAGACTGCTGACGTCATCCTGGTTTACAAACAATCAGCGGGATCCAGTCAAGCTCCAGGTGGAGCCTTCCGGGCGTCTTCATATGTGAAAGGCGGTGCTGGGCTCACTGGTCACGATGCACATTTGCTCCTGCGTGTGCTCTGCCATAGGGCAGATCGGGATGCTTCGAAGTTCCTCAAGAAGAACATGCACTTGCCGAAGTCATATTAGATGTTAAAATAGGGTACATTGCCAGGCAAGGCCTGTAGGAATGGAGAGATCTAGTCTCCATGTGTAGGCGATCCGAATGTAGGGTGTAGTAGAATCCTGGTAGGAGCTGTACGTGATAGATGTTCTATGTATGGGTAAGCTTAGTGTCTTGTAACGAATCTGATAGTGGTGCATGTGTGCGGCACTATCAGTATGGACCCACCACCGCCTCCTCGCTCCTTGGAACAAGGTGCTGGCGTGGCTTCAATTGAGGCAGCCATGTCATTCTCCGGCTGTCACGTAACCAAGGCCATGTCCAGGGGCAGACGATATCCGTCAAAATTCGTCGGAGCGAACACCTTTCTCCGTCGCACCTTGGGATTGCCTTCTTCCTCTCCTCTCCACTCCACTGAAGCCTGCGTGCAGGCGGGATCAGGCGAAGAGACATTCTCTAGGTCTTCTCAACTTAGTTCACTCTTCCTAGGCCAGACTCTTCAGCTACTCCGAGTAGGCCTGTGGTCGACAGGCTCGGTACATTCGAAAGCCTCAGCCTCGCTCGCTCGCGTTCCGGACACTTATCTCGTCCGCATTATCGAGCAAGCCCTATCGCCGCTGTCGTGACAGTGTTAAACCGGTTAGCTGTTAACCATGGCGTCGTCGTCGTTCACCGGGCGGCTGCAGGTATCGACCGTCACACGGTCGGCTCCTGCTGCTGCGTCTGTGTCCGTCGCAGGCTCGCTTCGGCAACAGCCTGCTGCTGCTGCGTTGCATGTCCATTCCGCTCACTGCTCGCACGAACCTGGTGAGCGTCGCTTGTCACTCGTCGCTCGTCGCACGTCGCACGTCGCACGTGCCGTATCAACCGGCGGGGAGCTCGTGAAAATGATCGAGATAATCGTGAAGTAGGTGTAACATTTTCACGTTTTCGCCCGATCATCAGATCGCACGATCAGCGATTGCCTGATCAGGCAACGATGAATAAATTTCCCTGGAAAAGCTGACAGCCTCTCACGTGTCTCACCTCCCTCCAACGCGTTCCTCCTCTAGTGCGTTCCTCCTCTAGTGCGTTCCTCCTCTAGTGCGTTGCTCTTTCTCCACAGCAAATGCAAGCGTCACGGCCAGAGAGCACGTTCCCAGTTTTCGAGTCGTCTCATTGCTTACTCGCGGCTGTTTCCTTTCCCTCCACAGAAAATGCGAATGCTTTTGAGTCGACTCAAAAGCAGTTTTCGAGTCGTCTCACCGCTTACCCGCTGGTGTTTCCTTTCCCTCCACAGAAAATGCGAGTGCCTGCGGAGAACAACCTAGCGATGTCCCCAGCACCTCGAAAACCAACACCAGCAGCACCAGCAGCACCAGCAGCCGTCGGCATCTGCTCTGTGGCACGTGCGGGACGGCCATGGCAGCAGCGGTCGCGGCTGTTTCGGGCGATGCGAGAGCGGAAACGCTCCCTGCCCCTTCCACCAACTCCTCGGTCTGCCGCAACTGCCAGGGAGCCGGCGCTGTAGTCTGTAAGTACCCAACACCCCCGTAACCACCCACCCCCTCCCCCCCCCCCTCACACACACACCTCCCCCATCCACTTACCCCTCAACCCTTCCCCCAGTCCCTGTTGCCCTCCTCTCTGCCTGACGGTACCCTTTGGCCCCCCACAACGATTTCTGTTCTCTAAACTATCTCCTGGCAACGAGCAGGGAGCGGGAAAGTTTCGTCAAAGTCATGTTGCTTTGGTCGTTTCACTGAACCGTCCTTTTGCTTCCTCTGTGCTGCAGGTGACATGTGTGGGGGCAGTGGAAAGTGGAAGGGAGGGGGCGACGTGCAGGGAGCGGGGGAATCGCTTCAAGTCATGTTGCTTTGATCGACCCACTGAGCCCTTCTTTTACTGCCTCTGTGCCACAGGTGACATGTGTGGAGGAACTGGCAAGTGGAAGGCGCTGAACCGCAAGAGAGCCAAGGACACCTACGAGTTCACAGAATGCCCCAACTGCTATGGTAAGTTGCCTCTTTAGGTAAGTTTCTGCTCTGTTACCGGTGAGGTCAGGCTCTTGTATTACTCTCTACAAATTGCATGCATGCGTGCAAGAGTATTTCTGAGCAGATGCATGAGGTGTGAACTCAAGAGCAAGCTCCACTGAAGGTTATGAAGCCTACCTTTATCCTCGTCGCCCATTGCACCACATTGCTCTGTCCTACGGTACTCTACAGGTCGAGGCAAGTTGGTGTGCCCAGTGTGCCTCGGCACCGGAATGGGGAATGCCAAGGGTTTGCTGCGGCGACCCGAGGCAAAGCAGCTGCTGGATCAGATGTATCACGGCCGCCTGCTCCCTCCCTCCTAGGTGCTCAGCAGCTTCTGGATACCGGTTGTAGCTGTGAAACCCTCGCTCGTGCACTTCCCATTGCCTGTTGGTGCATCACTGTGTTAGGCTGGCTTTATAGTGATCCAACCAGCATGGCCAGAGTCCCCATACGTTTGCCTGCTCACTAAGCATATTCTGCCCATTAGTACACTTGGTTAGTGCCGACCATATGATGTGTGTTATTAGATATGGTGATCTTGCTGCTTGGTAATCATGTGAGCATCCTTGAGTTATTGAGTGAAATGCCTATTGTTCTCGACTCGATACAGAGCTGATACCGGAATCTCATTTCGTGGTTGACTGTCGTCCTCAATTCCAAACCTACACGCCGCTATTGACCGTACCTGCACCAGGCCCCATCGCCGTACCTCGTCCAGCCCAGGCCCAAGGATGACGTGGTTCGGCCTACTGAACCGACATCTTCTGTGGACCTTCCAGAAGGAGCTCCAGTTCTGGGGGATGCACAAGCGCGAGAAGCTGACGGGGTGCATCGTCTGACGTGGATTAGATTTGTGATCCGTGGCTGATCAGGGTCAAACACAAACGGCACGAGTGGCACGTGGCAAATGGTTGCTGGTTCCAGCCTCCCCTCGAATTTGGCCACGCTCACCACCCATAGGAATTTTGCTCAAGAAAAACGTTTAGCTCACAACATACTTGGCAATTGCCTCATTTTATTACTCCAAATCTGGGATATTGGGTGAACAAACACGAACAGATACAGTTCAAGGAAGAAAGAAAAGAAAGTCTTGAGAACTCGGGCAAGTGCCTGCAACCTCGTGCTCCTTCTGGTGCTTCGTCAATCCTCACCTCGAGATTCCCATTTCTACTGCAGGAAGCCATTACCACTATAATTTCTCATAGCATCTGCTAGTCGCCGCATCTCTTCCAGAGCGTCGTGTCGTGGCTTGCGTTTCTGCAGCTGAAGCGAGCCATTACCAGCTGCTTCCATCCCCCCAAAATCACGTCTCTTCTGTTTCGTCACGACTCGGGTCTCCCTTCGTCAATCTTCTCTTTTTCCCTGCCATCTCTCCCCGAGCCACAATGCCGTCACACGCCCTTGCCCGAGGGCCTGTCGCCGTTAAGGCGTCTGCTTCGCAGCAGACGCTTCGCCAGGCCGACGCCTCCCAGCTGAGGCCGAGCACACGCTCCTTAGCAGTCCGTGGGTTAAGCCAACCCGGAAATTCGAGATACAGCAGATTAAGGAGTGTTCAGAGCTTCTCTGGGAGCCGATTGGTCAAGTCTGGCTCGGTCGCCGGGAAATTGACGCAAACTCGAAGAGTGACGTCAGCAGTGGCGACAACAGATGCGACGACGACGACTGCAGGCGATCGCACAGGTGCGTCGCAATGCAGAGGAATGTGTGTGTTGTGAAAGGCCCGTACAGGTGCGCTTTGAAAACAGCAATAACGGTTTCACGCCAGTTGGCATCGGCACAGTGGACCCTGCTTCAGCTCAGGCATGGTGCTCTTCCTTGTAAGCATCTTTCCGATTTCTACCGTCGGATTATGCAGCATTCTCGTATTCTTGGAAAGGATTCCGTGCTAACCTCCTTGAAACGTTCGTAACACTTTCCAACACCACCTTCGTGACGTGGCCTTTCAAATCTCTTGACAATTTCGCCTTTGCTTCCCGAAAACCTTCGTTTCTCGTGTTCGTCAGAACCTGGTCATTATGAGTTTCAATTCAATTGCGCTGGTTTGCAATATTTTCCTGCCTTAGGCAACCTCGTAACCATTATCAGTCGCTTCGACGGTGGAGAATCTGGTCATCATTGGCTCAGGCCCGGCCAGAGATACCGCCTCTCATTTTTTGTCAGTTTCCTTGGCTGCCATTCTCCTAAAATCTCCCCTGGCTTGATCTCTTTTCCTTCCTTCGGCCCCCTTTCCAACCTTTCTCAGTCGAAACTACCGTCGAGAATCTGGTGATCATCGGCTCGGGCCCGGCCGGGTACACCGCCGCGATCTACGCTGCGCGGGCGAATCTGAAGCCGGTGCTGTTCGAGGGCGTGCAGGCTGGCGGCGTTCCCGGGGGCCAGCTCATGACCACCACCGAGGTGGAGAACTTCCCGGGATTCCCGGAGGGGATCACCGGCCCCGACCTCATGATCAGGTTCGTTGTGAGGGATCGACGGACATGACACGGGCTGATGCACAGGTGCTATTTGGTCGAAATAGTTTCTGCAGAGTCTGTTTTTGAGGCGCCTCAAAAAAGGTTTCTGCAGAGTCCACGCACAAACGCATGTAAAAACGGATGCAATGCAAGCAAGGGCGAATCCGAAGGCAAACAGGACGCCGGTGCTGTTCCAGGGGGTGCGGGCGGGCGGGCGGGGTTCCCGGGGGCCAGCTCATTACCACCACTGAGGTGGAAAACTTCCCGGGATTTCCGGAGGGGATCACCGGACCCGACCTCATGATCAGGTGCGATTCTTTTTAAAGGTGGGGCGGAGCTCTATAACGAATACGTGGAGTTCGTGGACTTGCAGCCTCGATTTTTTAGGCGCCTCAAAGATCACCTCATGATCAGGTGCGATTATTTTCAAAGGTGGGGCGGAGCTCTATAACGAAGACGTGGAGTTCGTGGACTTGCAGCCTCGCCCCTTTTCCCACCCCCTTTCCCCCCTTCCCCAGTTCGACGACCGGCAGAGGCGATCCCTCACAGCCCATATTCTCAACCCCAATGAGGAGTCTATTTTTGAGGCGCCTCAAAAATAGACTCCCCCCCTTCCCCAGTTCGACGACCTGCGGAGGCGATCCCTCACAGCCCACATTCTCAACCCCAAACCCCCGGATTTCCCCCTGAATGCCCTGTTCAGTCTGCTGCTCCCCCTGCAGAATGGGGCAGCAGGCGGAGCGGTGGGGAGAAGAGGCGCACACAGACGACGTGGATTACGCCGACCTGCAGACCCGCCCCTTCAGAGTAAAATCTTTAACCCCAACCCAACCCAACCCAACCCAACCCTTGGGCTTTCACCCCCTGAACACCCTGTTTCTGCAGAATGAAGCAGCAGGCGGAGCGGTGGGGCGCGGAGCTGCACACAGAGGACGTGGAGTACGTGGACCTGCAGACGCGCCCCTTCACGGTGCGCAGCAGCGACCGGGAGGTGCGCTGCCACAGCGTCATCATCGCCACGGGGGCCACAGCGCGCCGATTGGGCCTCCCCAGCGAGAAAGAGTACTGGTCTAAAGGGATTTCCGCGTGCGCGATCTGCGACGGCGCGAGCCCGATTTTTAAGGGGCAGGAGCTAGCGGTGGTGGGAGGTGGGGACACGGCGGTGGAAGAGGCGCTGTACTTAACTAAGTACGCTAAGCACGTGCATCTGCTGGTGCGGCGGGACGTGCTGCGAGCCAGCAAGGCGATGCAGGACCGGGTGTTTAAGAACCCGAACGTCACCGTGCACTTAAACACTTTGCCGGTCGACGTGGTGGGGAACGACAAGGGGCAGATGGCGGGGCTTAACTTGAGAGACGCTGCGACTGGGGAGGAGAGGATTCTGCCTGTGAAGGGGCTGTTTTATGGCATCGGGCACAAGCCGAACAGTGACCTGCTGGCGGGGCAGGTGGAGCTGGATGGGAGTGGGTACGTGGTGGTGAAGGACAACGCCGTGGAGACGTCGGTGCCTGGCGTGTTCGCTGCTGGCGATCTCAAGGTGAGACTTGGCTACTGCTTCGGCTTTACTGTGGGGTAGTATCGATCGACCAATCCTTGGGTGGAGCTGGATGGGAGTGGGTACGTAGTGGTGAAGGACAACGCCGTGGAGTCGTCCGTTCGTGGTGTGTTCTCTGCTGTGGTGTGTTCGCTGCTGGTGAGCTCAAGGTGAGCTGTGACCCCTGCTCGATCATGTCTGGTCTGGTCCACCCTTCATGCCACCCCCAACTCACTATCGGTGTGTAATGAGTCGACTCAAAAATCGACTTTTGAGGCGCCTCAAAAATCGGTGTGTAATGAGTCGACTCAAAAATCGACTTTTGAGGCGCCTCAAAAATCGGTGTGTAATGAGTCGACTCAAAAATCGACTCATTACACATCCTCCATGCCACCCCCCACTCACTATCGTCCTTCCATCTTCCTCCCCCTCATCACAAGCTGTCCGTCTCCTCCCGCTCACTCTCTCTCTCCCTCTTCCTCTCTGCTTCTTTTTACCACACCTCTCCCTCTCACCCACCGTCGGGACCACGAGTGGAGGCTGGCCACCACAGCTGCAGCATCAGGGTGCATGGCAGCGTTGTTAGTGGAGCGGAAATTTACCTCCACTTCCTCCCACTCTCTCCCTCGCCTTCTATCCTCCTCTTCCCCTCTCGTTCTCACCACCAGGACCACGAGTGGAGGCAGGCCATCACTGCAGCAGCGTCAGGGTGCATGGCAGCGCTGTCAGTGGAGCGGTATCTCACCTCCAACGACCTGCTCATCGAGTTCCACCAGGTGAGATGCAGCCTGAGGGCTTGAGGTGTTGAACACAGCACTAAGGCCATAGGGGGAGCAGCAGTAGCAGCTGTAGCGTTGGGCTGCATGGCAGCGTTGTCGATGGAGCAGTACCTCACCTCCAACGACCTGCTCATCGAGTTCCATCAGGTGAGACGCCTCTTGAAGGCTTGAGGTGTTGAACACAGGTCTAAGGCCATAGAAGGAGGAACAGCAGCAGCAGCAGCAGCAGCATTGGGGTGCATGGCAGCACTGTCGGTGGAGAGGTACCTTGCCTCTAACGACCTGCTCATCGAGTTTCACCAGGTGATTGAGAGGGCTTCTAGGGAAGCACGGCGAGCTATTTCATCCAGAAATTCAGCTATTGACACTAAAATCAAGTACGTAGCAAGAAATATATTTACAAACAAAGTGTTTTTACAGACCCGCTGCCATGTGCGGCTAAGACCACTAAGTGGTGTTCTCTCGAGGTGGTGGCGAACAAGCAGCTCAGAGAGGAGGGTATGGAGGAGAGGCTTGAGTTGTCTCTCGCATACCCATCCCTCCCGCCTGCTCACCTCCCCTCCCCCCCATGGCTTCCCCTCTGTTTTCCCCTCCTTCTCCAGCACTTGCACGTTCTCTTACGCGAGCAGGAGGTGGGGGTGGTGGAGCAGAAGGAGCTCACGGAGGAGGATGTGGAGGAGAGGTTCGAGTTGCCTCTCACACTCCTAACCCTCCCTCCCTCTCACCTTCTCCTCTTGTTCCCCCCTCCTCCCCATGCACCTTTTCTCTCTTGGCGAGCAGAAGGAGGTGGAGGTGGTGGAGAAGAAGGAGCTCACGGAGGAGGACGTGGAGGAGAGGTTCGACCCGCTGCTCACGCGGCACAAGGGGCAGTACGCCCTGCGCAAGCTCTACCACGAGTCCAACCGCCTGATTGGCGTCATCTACACGTCTCCTACCTGCGGCCCCTGCAGGACGCTCAAACCCATGCTGGCTAAGGTACGTGATGGGGTAGGGTTGGGGCCTGTATTCCGCGATGCTCACGTGGCACAAGGGGCAGTGTCTCGCAGTGCCCACGTGGCACAAGGGGCAATGTCTCACAATGTCCACGTGGCACAAGGGGCAGTATCCTTGAGTGCTCACAAGGTCTTATTCGCACTCACAATCAAGCCACCCCGCTTCATTGGCATCATCTTGGCTTTTCAGTTCCACTGGCAGATCCACTGGGTGGAGATTGGGATCCAGGAGGACTCCGAGATTGGTGCTAACTTTGTATCTGACGAGTGCTGTTGACTGGCGTTGACTCCTGTTGACCTCTGTTGACCTCTGTTGACTGGCGTTGACCCCTTCGCACTTGCAGGTGGCGGAGGAGTTTGACCGGCAGATCCACTGGGTGGAGATTGTCATTGAGGAGGACCCCCAGATTGATGCTAACTATCCATTGGCTCCCGTTGACCTCTGTTGACTCTCATTGACCCCTGTTGACTGGCAGGTGGTGGAGGAGTTTGACCGGCAGATCCACTGGGTGGAGATCGACATCGAGGAAGACCCTGAGATTGCTGAGGCTGCGGGAATCATGGGGACACCCGTAGTGCACTTTTTCAAGAACAAGGAAAAGATCGAGTAAGTGCTTGTATCTGATCTTGCTGAGTAGTCTATCTGAACCCTAGGTTGATCTCCGAGGTGTCTCAAAGCTGCAGGAATTATGGGCGTTGGCTGTGGATTTCATTATGCCCTTCCTCCTCGCACTCGTCTCCTTCCCCTTCTCAACTTCAACAAATATCATCCGCACTTCCCGACCCCACTGACTTTGAGTGGACTCAAAAGGCACCCCCCATTGCCCCACTCCAGTGATGTCAAGGGTGCGAAGATGAGGCTGAAAATGAACTGAGGAGGACAAGTAAGGCGGTACTAGACAGCAAGCATATCCCTCACCCCCCCCCCCCCCCTCTTTTCCCCCTTGCTCCCCCCTCGCCCATTTTCAGTGAGATCAAGGGTGTGAAGATGAAGAAAGTGTACCGGGAGTTTATCGAGTCACACAAGTAAAGCATTTCTCCCGGGAAGGAAAAAAAAACAGGTTTTGGGCAGCAGAACTACTGAGAAGAAGCAGCAAAAGCTGCTCAACACAACCCAACCCAACCCAACCCAATCATCCCAGTACAAGCGAACCCAACCCAACCCATCCCATCCTTCTTCAAACCCATCCAGCCTATCCCAACCCAGCTGGGAGATCAGTGTGACAACTTTGTCGCAACCAGTTGCATAGTAACCTGTCCATTGCCACCTTATTGTGTAAGCATGTCCTCCTTGTCTGGTAGAAGGAATGTTCAGTCAATAATATGATGTATTCTAAAACTACTGTAATTGCTTTGCAATTGATATACGCTACGCTGGAAAAGTGAGTGCGCATATTCAAATTTCTTTACATTATTGCGTAATTAATGAATGGAATGTTTGTATTTCATTCAGAAATAGCAGCAGACGAGTCCATAAGTGCACGACAACGCCCGTCAAAACTCTTAGAAACTTAGGACACGAGCCTCTTAAACTTAGGAGGCTAGGTAGGCTAGGATACTAGAAGTGACGCCATGGAATATCGTGAGGAGAAGTTTATCTAGGGGTAGGCAAAAGTGACGAGAAAGAAGAAGATCGATTAGGAAGAGGGGGGAGTACAAGGAGGGGTTTGTACCCCCTACAGAAAGGTTCAGTAACAACCTACCAAGCCTATATTAAAATTATAACTTATATAATTTTAACACACCCCCTAGGCTTGGTAGTCGCACACCCACCCAACCCACCCCCTAACCCCGCACACCCTCAAGCTCGTGCTTAGCCGGGTATCTGACCCTCGTGCAAAGCGTTGACACACCCCCGTACACGAGGCAGCCTACGGCGTCTGGGCGGGTCAGCGACAAGCAGCGGCGGAGCTCTGGCTCAAGGCGGCTGGGTCGCCGACAACAGGCGGCGACCGCCGCGGCTGAGGGCTCTCGGTGATGTGGCAACGTCCGGGCAGAAGACAGCAGCTGCGACAGGAGGAGGGGAAGACGCAGGGGGAAGGGAGAATGGGGGGGGGGGGGGGGGGGGGCGGGGCGAGTCTTCAGCGACGCGCCATAAATGGCGCGGCGCTTACTGGCGGGAGGACGTCGTCCTGAGGGACGCCCGTAGCTGGCGAGCGGGCGGCAGGCCCGGCGACGCCACAGACGTCGCTCGGCCGGCCGCAGCCCGACGATGCCGTCGACTGCCGTAGACGCCGCCGCAGCGCACCGTCAATGTCGCAGCGGTGAGGCGGACGGGCGACGGCTGCACCAAGGGGCCGTCGCGACACCTTGGCGCCGCGACGGCAGGCAACGAGGGGCCGTCGCGACACCTTGGTGCCGCGACGGCGGGCAACCAGGGGCCGTCGCGACACCTTGGTGCCGCGACGGCAGGTAACAAGGGGCCGACGCGACATCCTGGCGTCGCGACGGCAGGCAGGCAGAAAACCGCGAAGGCTGCGAATGCAGCAGGAGTACGCAACGGGAACGTAGGGAGAGGGTCCGGTGGACACGACCGGCTCTGATACCATCTTAGAAACTTAGGACACGAGCCTCTTAAACTTAGGAGGCTAGGTAGGCTAGGATACTAGAAGTGACGCCATGGAATATCGTGAGGAGAAGTTTATCTAGGGGTAGGCAAAAGTGACGAGAAAGAAGAAGATCGATTAGGAAGAGAGGGGAGTACAAGGAGGGGTTTGTATCCCCTACAGAAAGGTTCAGTAACAACCTACCAAGCCTATATTAAAATTATAACTTATATAATTTTAACAAAAACTTCAACCTTAGTACTGCTACCCAGTATCTCCCTTTCGCCCCACTTAGCTCCATTTTGCACATGGAGAAACTCGACCCACTCCTTGCAAAAGCTGGCAGCTCACCCCAAAACCAATCTCTTACTACCCGATAATACACTGTCCCTTGGGTACTGTTCCTCATGCCACGTCAGCTTCATCATTATCCGCAATCTGCTGACCAATCACTTGCGCCCTACTCACATCTGCTACCCCAGACAAGATGTCATCTACGAACGATGATCCTGCCTTCGCTGCTCTCAACTGCTGCTGCTGGTGCTGCTGCTGGTGCTGCTGATGCTGGTGCTGGTGCTGAAGGGAAGATTGATGGTGCTGTGCACTGCTTCTACTGCTGCTGCTGCTCCCTGTGATCCCAGGCCTAGCCGTGATGCCCGGGGGACGTGGGGCCCGGACCAGAGGCACAGGTTCGGTGGGTGCTTGCTTTCTGCCTACACTCTTGCTCCTCTCCAACCCACCTCCGCCTCCCCAGTCCAGCCCAGAATCTTTATCGTTCCCCTCTAATCTTCCCCCTCCCCCTCCCCCTCCCCCTCCCCTTCCCCCTCTCTCTCCTCCTCCTCCCCCTCCTCCGCCTCTGTTTCCCCCACCAGCGGGCCCCCAGTCAAGCCCCAGCTCTGCAGGAGACGTGGCACGGTGGGGTCGTTTGGACTGTAGCATGCTGCCAGCTGGCATCTCGGCTGCTGCTGCTTCACGCTGCCTCTTGCGGCTCTCTGCTGCCGACGCTGGTGGCGGTGGTATTCTTGTGGCTGTGGATGGGGTTGAACCAGGACGAGCACCAGCAGCAGAAGTAGCAGCAGCAGCAGAGGTTGCAGAATCGGTTCCTGTTCTTCCAACCAGAGTAGCTCGGCTTTTCTCCACAAGATTAGCCCACTTCGACGGAGCTTCACGGGGAGAAGGCCCTTGAGGTTTTTGTTGCTGCTGCTGCTGCTGCTGCTGCTGGCTCTGGTGATGGGGTGATTGCTGGCGCTGACCCTGCTGGTAGTGCTGCTGGTGCCGCTGCTGCTGCTGGTTAGAGGAGGGCGCATGGTGCTGCTGGCCACTGCGATTCTGCCCATCACCAGTGCTCTTCTTCTCTCCTTCCCTCGCGCACACTCTCTCCCTCTCTCTTGATCCTGATCTACTTCTATCCCGCATCCTCTCTCTCTCCCTTATCCTCTCAGTCTCCCGCGTCCTATCCCTATCTCCTTCCCTCCCCCTCTCCCCTCCTCTCCCCTCCCGCATCCTCATCTCCCTCCGCCGTCTCTCAGCCTCTCGCTTCACCCCGCTCACTCGCTGCCTCGCATCCCCCTCTCGCCTGAGACACCACATGAAGAACCCCTGACTGCCGTCCTGGATCCACACGCTCGTTTTCAGCTGCTTCACCACCTCTGGGATGTCGAATACCCGCTTCTTCTTTTGATCTGATGATGTTACAGACGCCCTCTCCCTGCCCCTTTCCGTATCCTTGTCTCTCTCCCTGCTCCAATCCCTGTCACCAGTTCTTCCCCTGTCCTTGTCTCCTTCTCTCTCCCTGTCTCTCTCCCTGCCTCTTTCTCTCCTCCCATCCCTCGCCCTGTAAATATCCCTTTCCCAACCTCTCTCCCCATCTCTTTCCCTGTCCCTGGTCCTATCCCCATCCCTCCGGACCATCCTTTCCTCGCCTTCTCTCCCCCTCTCCCAGCTCCCCGATTCCCTTGCCTTCCGACCGCCATCAGTGGGCGTCGCCCCATGCTCCCTTTCCAAGTCTGTCACTGCTTTCCTTAACGTTGCTTCATCCCCTCTCGCCCTCTGCCCCACTTCTGGCTCCAACACCGCTCCTTGCACTCTATCCCTACCGCCTCCCCCACCCCCTGGTTCTGCACCAGGCACCTGTTTTTCCCCACTCCCTGACACCTCCTGTCTGCCTTCCCCTCCCTTCATCTGCTCTGGCCCTGCTCCTGCATGCGCACGTGCTTGCTCTGCTGCTCTTCCAGCCACTGCTGCTTCCACTGGTGGTTTTGACTGCGCTGCTTGTTTTTCCCCACTCCCTGACACCTCCTCTCTGCCATCACCTCCCTTCAGCTGCTCCGGCCCTGCTGCTGCATGCGCACGTGCTTGCTCTGCTGTTGGTACTGCTAGCCTTGCTTGTGCGTCTGCCCTTGCGTTCGCCTGTGCTGCTGCTTCTGCCTGTGCCGTTGCTGCTCTTCCAGGCACTGCTGCTTGCACTGGTGGGTCTGCCTGTGCTTCCGCAGGTGCTATTCTCTCATCCTCTGTTGTTGCACCTTCTGGCATTGCTGCTATTGAAGGTGAATTGGCTTGAGTCGTTGCTTCTCCCCCAGTTGCCATAGCTTCCCTTGCTACTTGTATTGGTGGTGACTTGGCTTGTGCTGCGGCTGCTTCTGCCAGCATTGCTGCTGGTGATTGCACCCTCGTCTGGCTTTCTCTAACCATGTCTACCCCACCCCCATCCTGCACTCCCTTGTGCGCCAGCACCTTCCCCTTGGCCTTTTCACCCTCAATCACCACGTGCTTTCCCTGCTCGAGCTCGCTCCCCCTCTTGCACTCTCCCTCACTCTCTGCCTTGCGTCTTTCAGCAGCCCCCGTGTCTTCTTCTCCCTTCCTTTCCTCCTCAACTGCTTCCCCAATCCTAGCCTCCCTGCATTCAACTCTCGTACCCCTGTGCTGTGCCCCCTCCTCTCTACGCTTCACCTTTTCATGGACTCCCTTTCCTCTCTCCTTGTCCTTCTCCCCTTCCTCGTCCGTATCTCCCCTTTCCTTCCTCGCTCTCTTTGTCTCCTCCCTCGCTCTTTCCTCCTCGAGTTGCCTTTCCTCGTTTTCTCTACCCTGCGCGTCCCTTTCACCTCTCTCACGCCTCCCCTCCCCTCCTCGTCTCCTCTCCCCTTCCTCTCCTCCCTTCCTCCTTCCCTCCTCCCCTCCATCCCGCCCCCTTCCCCCTCTCTCTCCTCCCTTCCGCCCTCCCTCCTCCCCTCCACTCCTCCCTGTCTCTGGCAGGAACCTCAAATCAGCCCTCTCCCCTCTCACCAGCCCCTCCCTATACGGCCTCCTCGCCGTTAAAACCACTCCTCTCTCCCTAGCATCACACAGCAGCGCACACCACGGCTTGCTGTGTGCCAGCGTTGCTGCATGCCCCAGTATCCAGAGCGCTTTCCTGGCTCTGGTCAGAGCCACGTTCATCCGCCGTTCATCTGCCACGAATCCAACGGTCCTCCTCTCTTCTCGCGACGGTCGCTCGCCGTTGGTGGGTTTTCCAAGGGGAGAGGAGGAAGGGAAGGAGGATGAGGAGGGGTGGTTAGAGGAATGGTGAGAGGAGTAAGGGTGGGAGGAGGAGGGATGGGAGGAGGGATGGGAGGAGGATGGGAATGAGGACGCGTAGGGGGTGAAGGAAGTAGGAGATGCACGGACGGTAGAGAAGATAAGGATATCCACCTCCCTCCCTTGAAAACCATCCACTGTGTTAAACTCAATGTCTGCAGCAGCACCGCGCCCCAGCGCTCGGCTAAAAGTGTCTCTTAGCAGGTACAGCTGCTGCTTGTAGGGAGTGATGACACCTACTCTGCCTGGCGAACACTCCTCAGGGAATCTGTGATTCAAACGTGCAGGTAGGAGTAGGGAAACCCGAGTTGTGTTGAGGCAACTGACAGCTACTGCTTGCACGGCGTGGTGCAGGTAAGAAGGCGAGTTCTGCCTGGCATCCTCCACATCTTTTTTGAGGCGCCTAAAAAACCCACCCCATCATCCACATCAAACACAGCATATGGCAGCAACGGGACTGTAACAACAACAACCTGAAAAAATTCTTACCGCTGTTGGAGCAAGCGGAAGAGCTCCACAGCAGCAGCCGTCTCCCCTTCGTTGCACAACGAAGGCGCCCCTGCTGGTCCCCTGGTCCTCTCCACCCCATCCTCCACATCAACCACAGCGTATGGCAGCAGTAGGGCCATAACAACAACGTAAAGGGATTCTCACCACTGCTGCAGCAGACAGAAGAGCTCCACAGCGGCCGTTGCTTCGCCCTCGTTGCACAGCGAAGGCGCCCCTGCTGGTCCCCTGGTCCTCTCCATCCCATCCTCCACATCAACCACAGCCTACGGCAGCAAGGGGAATGTGCCAACAACAACCTGAAGAGATTCTTACCGCTGCTGGAGCAGGCGAAACAGCTCCAGAGCAGCCGCCGCCTCCCCTTCGTTGCACAATGAAGGCGCCCCTGCTGGTCCCCTGGTCCTCTCCACTCCATCCTCCACATCAAAAACAGCGTATGGAAGCAAGGGGGCTGTTGACGCCACACTGTGCTGGCCATGCAGCTGAGGCTGTAACGAGGCTGACTGTAACGAGGATAGATGAGAGGAGGCGGAGGAACCAGACGGCAACGAGCAGAATGGGGAGGACCAGGAGGGGGCGGTGACGCAGGGGGCGTCGGAGAGGAGAGACTGGTAGAAGAAGGAGGAGGGGAAGAGGGAGATGTGGGGGTTCATGCGGTACTGCATCGACAGCATGGTAACCGGGTAACCAGACGTCTGGAGCCGCTCGAAGAGGGAGCGCTCGTAGCGCAGGTTGGATGCCGTGCGGGAGAGGACCGTCGCTGGGAGCTGCTTGGGGTCGCCCACCATGATGCACCGGCTGTTGACCCGAGAGAGCAGCTGCAGAGGAATCAAGGTGGCTGGCTCCAGTGCCTGCAGGGGGGAGAAAGGGACGAGGGGAGCAAGAGAGAGCACCGTTGCTGGGAGCTGCTTGGCTTGGGGTCGCCCACCATGATGCACCGGCTATTGAACCGACTGAGCGTGCGGGAGAAAAAGAGTTCCAGGAAGGCTTGAAACCAAGACAACCGAGCACGATGTAATCTGAGGCTTTGTTCGGCCTCGATATCTACCTGAGACGCCCCATGAAAACCACCTGAGCAGCCCACTATGTTCACCTGAGCCGCCTCATCGATCACCACCGCATCAAACAGCCCCTCCATCCACGACGGCAGCACCCCACCTGACGCTCCACCTGAAAAACCACCTGAAGCCCCCCTCGCTCCTCCTCCCATGCCTCCTACCCATCCCCTTGCTCTCACTCCAAAACCAGTTCCTCCCAAACCTGCAGTCCCCCCGAACCTACCACCACCACCACCACCACCACCACCACCACCACACTCCACTCCTCCCCCTCTCCCCCCTTTATCCCCTGCCCCCTCCCAGCAAGCAGTAAACACATCGCCTCCACACGCATTCAGTGTGGTAACCACCACTTCTGCCTCCCTTATAATCTCTTTTTTCACCGCTGCCCGCCGCGCTTTATCCTCCTCGGCAGCTGCCCGCCGCTCCTTCTCTGCTGCTGCCAGGTCAGCCGAAATTTCCCGCTTTTTCCGGTACAGCAGATTAAGCCTCGCCTTAATAGTTTCTTCCCCATGCGATATAATCTCCTCAGCTATTTTCTCAGCTGTTTTCTCCTCCTCCCCCCCTCCCCTTGCACCCTCCTTCCTACTCTCCCTTGCATTAGCAGTCTTCCCACCATCCCCTCCCTCCTCTCCTCTCTCCTCCCCACCCTCCCCATTCTCCTCTAAGCGTTTCTTGCATCTAAGTGCCTCAACTGCTCGGATCACTTCAAAAGCACGTTCTAATTGCTGCCTCAACTGAGCCACCCGCTCTCTCACAGCTCCCTCAGTCCCTAAACCACCACTGCCACCAGCACCACCACCAGCAACACCAGCAGCAGTGGCACCAGCAGTGCCACCACGAGCACCAGCAAACGCCCCATCACCAAACACGTCCCTCCAGTCCTTCTCTCCCAGAACCTCACTCTCTCTTCTCCCCTCGTTATTATCACCAGCGTTTACAGCACGCCCAGCTGCTTCCTTAGCCAGTCTTTTCGCCACGAGAGTGTCAATGTGAATGTGGAGGGAGTCCGGATGGACGGCTGACACGTTCCCAACGCGCACAACCGACGGCTGAGATCGCACCATCTCATCATCCCACCCATCCTTTGCCGATTCCGAATGTGCCCGGAAAATCCGAGATATGATCTCATCCACAGCAGCATTAGACTGCGCACACACAAGTACTCTTGTACGATTCTTCTTCCCTCCTCCCTCCCCCCCTCCACCACCCCCCCTCCTCCTCCCCCTCCTCTCCCTCCTCGTGCCCCCCTCCTCCCCCCACTCCCCCTCTCACCCCTCCTCTCTCCAAGTCCCTAGCAACAGCAGCATCCTGCCACATGCGAGCCATGGCCGCCGCAGTACCCAGCCTCTGATTCGCCCCTCCCACTCCCCCTCCCCCTCCCCTACCACCCGCCCCACCCTGCAAACCCTGCCCCTTCCCAAGCCGTCTAACCCTTGGTTCTGACTCCCAAACCGCGCCCCTCTCTTCCACTCCAGAGTGCTCCTGACCCCCTGCCTTTTTCCTGCATGCTAGCAGGGCAGTGATGATGGCGACTATGGTGCGGGTCTTGCCTGTGCCTGGCGGCCCCTGCACCAAGACCAGCTTGCGGTTCTCCTCTGCACCACCACCACCACCACCAAAACCAGCAGCTGCGAAAAGACCAGCGCTGGCAGACTCAAAACCAGCATGACCAGCAGCACAAGCAGTGCCTAAACCAGGGGTGTTGCCTGCTGCTCCGCCCTTGCTCATCCCAACAGCATGCTTGATAGCCTGCAGCTGACAACTGTTGAACTGAGACTCGTACTTATTCCTCAGCGAGAGCGGCAAGGGCGTACCCTCAAGAGATACGTTCACAGCTGAAGAGTCGGCAGCCGTGGTAGAATTACCACCAGCAGCAGCAGCAGTAGCGGTTGAGCCAAAGAAGCTAGGTTTGAGCAGCGGGGGCAGCAGCGGCAGGTACTGAGCAGCCGCCAGCGCCTGGAACTCCCTCATATGCGGCACGAGGGAGAGAATGCGCGTCACGTGCCACGTGCTGCGATCGACTAGGAGTTGCTTGGTGCGCGCAAGGCGAGGGGAGCCGGTGAGAGGGAGAAAGAACCGCAGCTGGAGAATCACTGCTCGAGATTCCCTCTCATATTCCCTACGCTCTACCTGAAACGAGGGGCACATGGGGGGGGGGGAGGGGGAGGAACGGAGGCAAGTGAGGGGGAGGCGGGTACTGAGCGGCTGCCAGCGCCTGGAACTCTCTCATGTGTGGCACGAGGGATAGGATGCGCGTGACGTGCCACGTGCTGCGATCGACTAGGAGTTGCTTGGTGCGCGCTAGGCGAGGAAAGGTAGATAGCGGCAGGAAGAAACGTAGCTGGAGGATGACTGCTCGAGATTCACGTTCGTATTCTCGACGCTCCACCTGGAGAGAAGGAAACCGGGGAGTATGGGAAGAACAAAGCGCAGCTGAAGGATGACAGCTCGAGACTCGCGTTCATATTCTCTCGGTGTGTTTTGAGTCGACTCAAAACACACTCGCGTCCACATTCTCTCTGCTCCAAATGGAGACAGAAAAATGGGAGGGTCGAAAAGGGGTGGGTGGCGTTGTGTTGTGGCGGGGGAAGGGGGGTTTTGAGGGGTAGGGGAGGGAAGACAAGTGAGACGATGAGAGGAGGACAGTGAGAGGAAGTAAGAGGAAGTGGCGCAGGTGGAGAATGGCTTCCTTTCAGAAGGACTTCCCGGGAAACACGATCATATTCTCCACCCTCCACCTGGTGAGAGGGAAACACAGGCAGCGAGAAGGAGGAAGAAGGGGAGGAAGAAGTGGCATGAGGATAACTGCCCAAGACCCCCGTTCGTATTCCGGACGCTCCACCTGGGAGAGAGAACAGGGAAAGCGGAAGTGTGATAGAGGGATGGGGGGGGAGAAAGAAAGCCCGGCGGAAAAACACGGAAATGATGGCACATTGTGAGTGAGCAGCACGAGATCATTGTCCCCACAGAAAGCCTACGGCCAGTCCAACCTATGCCAGCGCATGCACCATCTGTTGTGATGCGTCCGCAGCGGCACCATTTTTGAGGCGCCTCAAAAATCGTCCGCAGCGGCACCACCACTACCAGCAGCAGCAGCCGTAGCAGCAGCATGGCCCAGCACGTTTCGAGTGAGCAGCATGAGACCACTCTCCCCACAGACAGTGGAGGTTTCACCTTACCGTAGCCAGCACGTGAACCATCTGCTGTGAAGCAGCAGCCGCACCAGCAGCAGCAGCAGCGGCAGCAGCAGCGTGGTCTGGCACGTTCCAGGTGTGCAGCACGAGGTCATGCTCCCTACAGAAGGTCTGTGACCCCAACGCTGCTCCCTGCTCTGCCATGCATGAACAGCACCAGCTGACAATCATCCACCTGCTCTGTCAAAATGCTAGGTTTGATCTTACCTTCGCCAACACGTGAACCATCTGCTGTGCAGAAGCAGCCGCACCACCAGCACCAGCACCACTAGCAGCAGCAGCTGCAGCAGCATGATCCGGCACGTTGCGAGTGAGCAGCGCGAGATCATTCTCCCCACAGAAAGCCCGCGACCCCGACGCTGCTCCCTGCTCCGCCATAAATCGAGCCAACTGAAAATCATCCACTCTCTCTATCGACAGCATTCTCAGCGCGCCCACATACGCCACCTCCGCCCCTCCCCTTCTCTCTGCTGGTGGCCCCCCTGCTGCTGCAGCAGCGCTCCCCCCACCACCTCTTCCCCCCCCTTCTCCCCTTCCTCCTCCCCCTCCACCCGAGCCAACAGCATCGTCGTACGATCGCCGAAGCTGAGCCTTGAATTCTTCCAGGACCAATGGCTGGAACACCCGGACGTAATCTGCCACCGAACCAAACTCGTCCGGCACCCGAACCAGCCCCCGGCTCGCCGAACCTGCAGGCTCGGAACCAGACACCACCTCATAGTAATCCATGGCCAGGATCTTCCGGAACCAATCGTCCAGCTTTGGCAGGGGCGGCTTCTTCCAAGCCATCCAGTCCTTGATGCCGAGCCTGTCTGCCAAGCCTGACGGGGTGGTCCGGTCCGAGCCTAGGGCGATGGTTCGGTTGCGTTTGATCTGGTCTGCTACTCGGCTCATGCCCTCAAGCCCGCCTATGGAGAGCTTTCCTCCGGGTCTCCTTGCTTTGGCTGCTTCTCTCTCGAGCTCTGCATCCAAGTCATCATCAGCCAGCACCTCCAGAAGCACTGCTCTTGCTTTCCCTGCTGCTGCTGCTGCTGGTGGCTCTGTTGCTGCTGCTGGTGAAACGGGCGCTTTACCAGATAAGCCTGCATGAGACGGCGCCTCTGCAGTAAACGCAAACGGATCCACAGTTGCACCTGCTCCCCCTGGCCCCCCCTGCTGCTGCTTCAGCCTCTCCGCCAGCTGTCGCTCTCTGATTTGCCGCTGCACGTCCCCCATGGCACTGTTTCTCTGCTCCACACCAGCCTTGTGCGTCTCCCTTATTGCTGCCAGCTTGCTCCCAGCCCGGGCTCCCTTCATCATGCCTGGCTTCCTGATCAGAAGGCTGCGCGGCTTCTTAAAAACCACCCCCCCTGCCCCAGTCCTTGCACCTGCCCTCAACTTCCCTGTGCCTGCGGTAGCAGCAGCACCACCACTTGTAGTAGCGCCACCAGCAGCAGCAGAAGCATCAGCGGCAGCTGTTGCAACTTGAGAGCGGAGGTATTTTTCGAGTGTGTTTCGGCGCCGCTGCTTTGCTGCCCGGGAGGAAAGGAGAGACGAAAGGTGGGAGGCGGATTGAAAGGAGGGAGAGGAGGGTGAGGGGCCGGAGGAGAAGGGGAAAGATGGCGCTGACTTTGCAGATGCACCTGCCCCAGGTGGAACCCCAGGGCCAGTTGCAGCAGCAGAAACCTCTGCAGACCCGCCGTTATCACCTCGTTTTAACTGCCCAATTGGCACCTCATCTTCCTCCTCCCCTTCTTCCTCTTCCTCTTCCTCCTCCTCCTCCTCCTCCTCCCCCATCCCCTCCTCCTCTACCTCCTCCAAGCTCATCTCCCCCTCACTCTCTCCCTCCTCCTCCACCTCCATCCTCTCCCTCTCCTCTCTTCCGTGCGTCGCCTTTTCTACTCCAGCCACATCCTCCTCCTCAATATCTTCCAGATCTATAGTCTCAACCACCCTTCCCTGCCCCTTACCAGCAGCCCCTTCCCCCCCCTCTCCAACACTCCAACCCGTGCCCCAACCCACTCTCTCCTCCACTCCCTCCCTCTTCCTCTCCCCCTCTTCCTTCCCCCTCCTCTCCACCCGTCCCTTACCCCTCTCCTCCTCCTCTTCCTCCTCCTCGTCATCACTATACAGGTGAATCAAATCGTCTATCCCCTCCCTCCCTCCTTCCTCCTCTCCCTCCCCATCCCCCCCATCTCCAGACGGCACCCTTAGGTTCGGAAGCGGCTTCTTCGGCGGAGGTTCGGCATCCGAAGCTGAAACAAGCGATGCTGCCTGCTGTGCTGCCTCTAGGAGCCTCTCCTTCTGCTCCTTCGTCAGATTCACCTCTGCACTAAGCTTAATCCCAGCTATCAGACAGCTACAGAAATCCCTCAACAGAAGAGCCCATTTCCACCTACCCCACATCCCACCTCGACTTTTACCACCACTTATGTTGCTTCTGGTGATACTGATTCCACTTCGGTTACATTCACTGCTCTGCTGACCAAACAGTTGCCATGTAACCTGTAAAGCCTTGAGCACTGACTCTGATGCATCCACCCAACGATGCAGTATAGACACGTCCTTAACAGTCACACAAGCTGCCACGTCAGCCACCCAATCAGCCTCACCCTCGGCCTCTCCCCCTCCCTTTCCCCCTGCTCCTCCTCCTCCTCCTGCTCCCATTCCTCCATCCCCAAACCATAAGATCCGTACCCCTGCCGAGCCACCACCCCAGGTCTGGCCGACGTTCCGGTCCAGCAGCAGGTTCGGTATCTTCGGGAGGGAAGTAGCGAGGGGAAAGAGAGAGAGCTTACCGTCGGGACCGGCAGTGTAAAGGCCAGGGGCTGTACGATGGGGAGGGGCAGTGCTGCCTGTAGCAGCACCGGCAGCAGCAGCAGAGGGGGTGCTGCTGCTGCTGCTGGTGAGAGAAGAGGAAGGGAGGAGGTGGTTGACTGCCAGGGGAAGGATCTCGAAGAGACGGACGAATACGAGCTTCTGGTGAAGGGAAAGGCAGGGAGGGGAGGGGGGGTAAGGAAACAAGAAAAGGAAGAAGGAAAGAAGGCGTGGATGGCATTGACAGCCAGGGGAAGGATCTCGACGAGACGGACGAATATGAGCTTCTAGTGAAGGGAAGGCAGGGAGGCAACAGGAAAGGGAGGGGGGCAAATGAGAAAGGCAGGGTGGGGAATGGAAGGCAGATCCAGGGGCAGAGAAGTCCAGGAGGGGAGGCGGGATGGGTGAAGGAGATGACTTTTGAGTCCACTCAAAAGTCATCTCGTTAAGCAGGGAGGGGAATGGAAGGCAGATCCAGGGGCAGAGAAAACAAGGAGGGGGGCGGCATGGGTGAAGGAGGTTCGTGAACCAATGCGGTGAGGAGGGCCTGGAGGCATGAGACTGGGTGAGGAATGTGCCGCGTTTGTGTAATGTACTGTAGTAATAGAAAAATGCAGGGGAACAATGATTGCCCATGGCAATGGTACCCTTGCATAAACCCTGCACACCCTGTACAGTTTAATTTACACTGTTACCTGTCCGCCTGTGGTGATGGTATCAGCGCACACCCTGCACCGCCACACCAGGAAGGCCACCATGGGCCACAGCACCCGCGATACATCCCACCCCACCGCTCCCCACACCTCCCGCCTCTCCCTCTCTTCCCTCTCCCACTCCCTCTCCCGCTCCTTCATCCTCCCCTCCACCTGCTGCTCCTGCTCCGACTTCGTTTTGACACCTGCAGAGCTAGCAGCAGCAGCCGCAGCAGCAGCACCAGAAGCCGCAGCATCAACAGCAGCAGCTGTCGCACTTTGCTTAGTAAAGAACCTCTTGATTCCAGCTTGGGCTCCCGGCCCAGGCCCCCCTCTGAGGAAAGCCCCTGGCCTAGCAGCTAGGGTGGGAGAGGGAGGAGAGGGGCTGGGATCCCGTGGGGAAACTGCATTGGCGGAGGAGATGTGGGCGGAGGGAGGGGCGAGGAGCTTGGCTGCGTAGAAGAGCAGGCCCTGGATGATGGACGCCTGCTTGCCCACCGGATCTAGGGCGAGCTGCATGGGGCGTGGAGACAGAGGAGAAAAAGAGGGACACATGAGGAGGAGGAGAAGGAGGAGGAGGAGGAGGAGGAGGAGGGAGGAGGAGGAGGAGGAGGAGGAGGAGGAGGAGGAGGAGGAGGAGGAGGAGGAGGAGGGAGGAGGAGGAGGAGGAGGAGGAGGAGGAGGAGGAGGAGGAGGAGGAGGAGGAGGAGGAGGAGGGAGGAGGAGGAGGGGAGGAGGGAGGAGGAGGAGGAGGAGGAGGAGGAGGAGGAGGAGGAGGAGGAGGAGGAGGAGGAGGAGGAGGAGGAGGAGGAGGAGGAAGGGGAGGAGGGAGGAGGAGGAGGAGGGAGGAGGAGGAGGAGGAGGAGGAGGAGGAGGAGGAGGAGGAGGAGGAGGAGGAGGAGGAGAGGAGGAGGAGGAGGAGGAGGAGGAGGAGGAGGAGGAGGAGGAGGAGGAGGAGGAGGAAGGGGAGGAGGGAGGAGGAGGAGGAGGAGGAGGAGGAGGAGGAGGAGGAGGAGGAGGAGGAGGAGGAGGAGGAGGAGGAGGAGGAGGAGGAGGAGGAGGAGGAGGAGGAGGAGGAGGAGGAGGAGGAGGAAGGGAGGAGGAGGAGGAGGAGGAGGAGGAGGAGGAGGAGGAGGAGGAGGAGGAGGAGGAGGAGGAGGAGGAGGAGGAGGAGGAGGAGGAGGAGGAGGAGGAGGAGGAGGAGGAGGAGGAGGAAGGGGAGGAGGGAGGAGGAGGAGGAAGGAGGAGGAGGAGGGAGGAGGAGGAGGAGGAGGAGGAGGAGGAGGAGGAGGAGGAGGAGGAGGAGGAGGAGGAGGAGGAGGAGGAGGAGGAGGAGGAGGAGGAGGAAGGGGAGGAGGAGGAGGAGGAGGAGGAGGAGGAGGAGGAGGAGGAGGGAGGAGGAGGAGGAGGAGGAGGAGGAGGAGGAGGAGGAGGAGGAGGAGGAGGAGGAGGAGGAGGAGGAGGAGGAAGGGAGGAGGAGGAGGAGGAGGAGGAGGAGGAGGAAGGAGGAGGAGGAGGAGGAGGAGGAGGAGGAGGAGGAGGAGGAGGAGGAGGAGGAGGAGGAGGAGGAGGAGGAGGAGGAGGAGGAGGAGGAGGAGGAGGAGGAGGAGGAGGAGGAGGAGGAGGAAGGGGAGGAGGGAGGAGGAGGAGGAGGAGGAGGAGGAGGAGGAGGAGGAGGAGGAGGAGGAGGAGGAGGAGGAGGAGGAGGAGGAGGAGGAGGAGGAGGAGGAGGAGGAAGGAGGAGGGAGGAGGAGGAGGAGGAGGAGGAGGAGGAGGAGGAGGAGGAGGAGGAGGAGGAGGAGGAGGAGGAGGAGGAGGAGGAGGAGGAGGAGGAGGAGGAGGAGGAGGAGGAGGAGGAGGAGGAGGAGGAGGAGAGGAGGAGGAGGAGGAGGAGGAGGAGGAGGAGGAGGAAAGGGAGGAGGGAGGAGGAGGAGGAGGAGGAGGAGGAGGAGGAAGGGGAGGAGGGAGGAGGAGGAGGAGGAGGAGGAGGAGGAGGAGGAGGAGGAGGAGGAGGAGGAGGAGGAGGAGGAGGGAGGAGGAGGAGGAGGAGGAGGAGGAGGAGGAGGAGAAGGAGGAGGAGGAGGAGGAGGAGGAGGAGGAGGAGGAGGAGGAGGAGGAGGAGGAGGAGGAGGAGGAGGAGGAGGAGGAGGAGGAGGAGGAGGAGGAGGAGGAGGATGAAGGGGAGGAAGCGGAGGGGGAGGAGGAGGAGGGGAGGACAGCAGCAGCAGAATTGGCAAATGCTCTAACACGCCTAAAAGCAGAGGCAACAGAAGAGGACAATAACCCATACCCATCTAAAGATGCATGCCTGCCTGCCTACCACGCTATCCTGCACCCATCACAATTACCCATTTCTCACCACAGCAGCAGCCTTGGCGAATGCCCGAACGAGCCCTCGAGCAGAGGCAGGGGAGGATGCAAGGAAGGCGAGCTGATGGTCGATTCGGTGGTCCCTGCACAGAGAAGTGAGCAGCTCTCGCGCCATGTCCCTGTTGGGCTGGGAGTGCCGGTGTGTGGGAGAGGGGGAGGCGGAGCAGGAGGGGGGGATGGGGGAGGAAGATAGAGTCAGGAGGCAAAGGGAGCAACCTGATGGTCGATTCGGTGGTCCCTGCAGAGAGAAGTGAGCAGCTCACGCGCCATGTCCCTGTTGGGTTGGGGAGGAAGGGGTGAAGAAGGAGGGAGAGGAAACGTAAGGAAAGAGAGGCAGTGGAGGCGAGGAAGGCAGGCTGGTGGTCGATTCGGTGGTCCCTGCAGAGAGAACTGAGGTACTCACGAGCCATGTCCCTGTTGGGCTGGGAGTGTGTGTGGTGGGGTGGGGGAGAAGGGGGGGGAGAGAGTCAGGAGGTGAGGAAGGCGAGCTGGTGGTCGATTCGGTGGTCTCGGCAGAGAGGGGTTAAGAGCTCACGAGCCATGTCCCTGTTGGGCTGGGGAGGAAGGGGTGAAGAAGGGGGCAGAGGAAAGGTGAGGAAAGAGAGGCAGTGGAGGCGAGGAAGGCAGGCTGGTGGTCGATTCGGTGGTCCCTGCAGAGAGAAGTGAGCAGCTCGCGTGCCATGTCCCTGTTGGGCTGGGAGTGTGGGGGAGTGTGGGGGAGTGTGGGGGAAGGTGAGGGGGCAACGGGATAGGCAAGGCGGGGAAGAAGAGCAGCTAGATAAACACACTGGTTGAAAGAGGCTAAAACGGAAAGGTAGAAATAAATTAATAAATATAAACAAAACAAAATGCACCACAGGGTAAGAGAGAGGCTGACCAGCTGGGAGTCGACGAGGAGGAAGATGAGTGGCTCTGCCAGGCTGGCATGCCACGTCAGCAGCTTGAGCCGGTTGGCACCTCTGATCTGGACGAGACAAGAGGACACACTCCTGCAGGGACAGATGACGAGGATATGGTGGTCGGGAGGGAGGGAGGGGGAGGGGCGTGGGAAGGGCTGGAAAAACTATGGAGTCCCACCCCTCTACCCTATGGAGTCCCACCCCTCTACCCTATGGAGTCCCACCCCTCTACCCTATGGAGTCCCACCCCTCTACCCTATGGAGTCCCACCCCTCTACCCTATGGAGTCCCAACCTCCATAGTTCTGTTTTGAGGCGCCTCAAAACTAGTTTCCCAGCCCTTCATAGTTTACCCTGGGAAAACTATGGAGTCGGCTGGGAAAACTATGGAGTCGGCTCAACCCTCTTGGGGCCCTATGGAGCCCTTTTGGGGCTCAAAAGGCCCCACTGTGGAGTAAAGTTCATTCTCGTAGGGAAGGGACACCCACCCATCTCTGCAGAATGATGCTCAACCCTCATCGTGCGTCGCTGCTACCACCCCATTCCAAGGCGCCTTCAAAACATGCACCTTACGTAGGATGATGTTCAGTTTCGCAGGAACACGCACCCACCTCTGTAGTATGACGCTCAGCTCCTCGCGTGCCGCTGCCACCACCACTGCATTCTCACACCCTGCTTTCGCTTTATTAGGGAGCCTCAGAACAGAAACGTACCCACCTCTTTTGAGTCGACTCAAAAGCCTCAGAAACGCACCCACCTCTTTTGAGTCGACTCAAAAGCCTCAGAAACGTACCCACCTCTTTTGAGTCGACTCAAAAGCCTCAGAAACGCACCCACCTCTTTTGAGTCGACTCAAAAGCCTCAGAAACGTACCCACCTCTTTTGAGTCGACTCAAAAGCCTCAGAAACGCACCCACCTCTTTTGAGTCGACTCAAAAGCCTCAGAAACGCACCCACCTCTTTTGAGTCGACTCAAAAGCCTCAGAAACGCACCCACCTCTTTTGAGTCGACTCAAAAGCCTCAGAAACGCACCCACCTCTTTTGAGTCGACTCAAAAGCCTCAGAAACGCACCCACCTCTTTTGAGTCGACTCAAAAGCCTCAGAAACGCACCCACCTCTTTTGAGTCGACTCAAAAGCCTCAGAAACGCACCCACCTCTTTTGAGTCGACTCAAAAGCCTCAGAAACGCACCCACCTCTTTTGAGTCGACTCAAAAGCCTCAGAAACGCACCCACCTCTGCAGAATGACACTCAGCTCCTCCTCGAGTGCCGCTGCAGCCCCCGCATTCTGAGGCGCCTTGAACGCACGCACCCTATGTAGAAAGTTGTTCAGTTTCATATAAACACGCACCCCTGTAGGAACACCCACCTCTGTGGGAACACGCACCTCTGTAGGAACACGCACCTCTGTAGGAACACGCACCTCTGTAGAAACACGCACCTCTGTAGAAACACGCACCTCTGTAGTATGACGCTCAGCTCCTCCTCATGTGCCGCTGCTACCACCGCATTGACACACCCTGCTTTCGCTCCTCGGCCCCCCCCTCCAGCTCCAGGAGCCAATCTCCAGTGCAGCGCCGCTGTAACCACCGCACTGCTGGTAACCGCAAGGCTGCTAGTAACCAGAGGTTTACTACCAGCGGACGTAACAGCAGCAGCAGCAGCAGCAGCGGAAGCAGAGAGGCAGAAGTGCCCAGCCACCCAGACGGCTGCTCTCAGTAACGGTTTTGGTAGCCACTGGGGCGGGGTGCGCTCTAGCAGCTCCACCCACAGCGCTGGCGCACACTGCCACCTGTCACTCTCTGCTGCCGCCAGCTCAGCAAGCCTGTCCAACTGATCTTGGGGCAAACCCTCAGAAATTGAGGAAGAGGAGGAAGAGGAGGAGGAGGAAGTGCAAGACTGGCCTGTACTAGAAGCATCCACACCACCAGCAACAACACCATCACCACCCCTGCAATCCCCACCCCCACCCCCACCCCCCTCCCCTCCCTCTCCTCCCCCCTCTGCATCCCCTGGGCAAACCAGAGCCCGTGAAAACACGCTCGGGACACACGCCGGACCTAAGTCCGAACCTGAGACCAGACCTCGCGCCGAAGCACCTGCGAAGGCTCGGGAGAGCGCGAGCGAGGTGAGGGCAGCAGCGTCGGCAGTGAGGATGGCCTGGGCGAGATGGACGGCTGGCAGGCGCAGGGGGTCGGGCAGGGAGGCGTCCTTGACTGCGCCCACTAGCGGCGGGCCCCAGATGTCAGCACAGTCGGTGGGGGGGAGAGGCGGGGAGAGCAGGTAGGAGTGCAGGATGAGGTGAAAGGCGATCTGGGGGGGGAGGAGGGGGGGAGTGGGGGGAGTGGGGGGACAGGGGGATTGAAGATCAGGTAAGGACAGAATACCAACACAGCCGGCGGTGGGGGGGCTAGTTTTGAGGCGCCTCAAAACTAGACTCCTATCACGCGGTTTTGAGGCGCCTCAAAACTAGACGAGGGGATTGAGGATCAGGTAAGCACAGAATACCAACACAGCTGGTGGGGGGAAGAGGCAGGGTGTGCAGTGCAGGTATGATGGAGTCGTTTTTTAGAATTCTCAAGTATGAGTGCAGACCGAGGTGAAAGGCGACCTGTGAGGAAGGGAGGCGGGGTTAAAGGGGGAATGGAAGAACGGGCGGATGGGGTGACAGTTTTGAGGCGCCTCAAAACTAGGCGCCTCGAAACTAGGCGCCTCAAAACTAGGCGCCTCAAAACGGGCGGATGGGGTGATAGGGGATGATTGCCCTAGGTGGTTGGATTGCTGGCAGGTGGAGCCTCGGAGGGGCTCTGGCAGGGCAGGGGTACTCGTCTCGGACTGCTCCCACGAGGGGCGGGCCCCAGGTCAGGACGGCTCGAACACAATCTCCATATGCAATGCAATCCCCATACACAACACAATCGCCATACGCAACGTGGGGGGGGGGGGAGAAATGTATAGTATACATGCTTGGGTGGGGAGAAAGAGGATCCTACCCGGCGGGCGATCTTGATGGTGGTGGTGCTGAAGTTGCGGCTGTTGGGGAGTTGAATGAGCAGGAAGAAGAGGATGCTGCGGCGCTGCCTCTCAAACTCCTCCGTCTCCAAAGACTCCACAGACTGGATAGTACAGGGGTTAGGGGAGAGAGGGGGAGGGAGAAATAAGGCACGAGTAGAGGGTGCAAGTACAGGGAGGGGCTGTTGGGGAGCTGAATGAGCAGGAAGAGGAGGATGCTGCGGCGCTGCCTCTCAAGCTCCTCTGTCTCCAATGACTCCACAGACTGTGAAATATGGGAGAGAAAAACGGGGGGGGGGGGAGGTGAAGGCTTTTGAATACAGGGGAGGGCTGTTGAGCAGTTGAAAGAGCAGGAAGAAGAGGATGCTGCACCGCTGCCTCTGTCTCTAATGACATCACGGACTGCATATCAAGATGCAGAAACAGGAGAAAGAAAAATAACTTTTCGCATTTCCAAAAGAAACAAACAGTCATTGGTACAAGGGTGTAAAGGCACGCACGATTTGGACAGACCTGTAGGAAGGGTGGCAGCAGGTCGAGCAGCAGCTTGTGAGTGGGCTCGTGAGTGGAGTTGAAGCATTGAGAAATGAGTGTATTCCGGACTACACCAGGGGGAAAGGCCGAATGCAACCAGAGCTTGTAGCCTGGAGGGTGGGAGAAAACGAGTTGCACCCATCAAAGACAGCATTCAAGAGATGCGCTCAACAATCAACACTAGAAGGCGGGTGATAGAAGATTTATTATGAGACGTCTGGAAATAAATCTTCTATCAAGAGAATGGGTTGGTACCCACTCATCAAAGGCGGCATTCGAGTAAGAGATGCGTTTCAACAATCAACACTAGCAAGTGGGTTCCCTTTTTCAGCCACCTGTCTAGAGCGGGCCGGAAGCGGCATCATTCTGTCACTTGCAACATCATTCCGAGACAACCTAGAGAGGACCAGAAGGCAGAGGTGTCCTCTTCCCCCCCACGTGGTCGAGCACGATGCTCACAAACGCAGGGAAGGGTACAGCACTCATTGCTGCCTGGGATTCCCTGCCCTGCTGCTGACCTATGAGCGCATGTGCACCAGCCACCCACCCGTCACTTGCAGCATCATCCTAAGGCACGCCAACGCGGGTCGGAAGACAGAGGTGTCCTCCCCCACGTGGTTGAGCACGATGCTCACGAAGGCTGGGTAGCGCTCCACCACACCCTCGTCCAGAGCTGGCGGAGCCATGAGAGAGAGACTGACGGTAAGGGAGGAGAGATATAATATGGGAAGGGACACAGAGACAGAGAGCAACACGGAGTGACACAGAGTGACACAGAGTGACACAGAGTGGGGGAAGGAAGAGTTGAAGCTGCAAGGGACATTGGAGGGAAG